TTGTTTTCCTGGTTGAGATGTTTGCTAGTTTGCCAGCCTGGCCCCTCGTGGCACTGACATCAGTTACCTAATTTCATTTTCCCAGAAGCTGAAGATAGGTTAAGCCAGACAAGCTTTAAACTGAAGGTGGTCCAAGGCTTTCAGCGCTGCTTAGGTATCTAGAATACAAAAACTTACAACCTTTTTTTAAGTATTTCATTGGTTAAGTCAAAATTTAAGCCTTTGACTTCATCCCACTCCATGTTCCAACTTACACCAATCTTTTATTTGGAAAGATCTGTCAAAATTTGCTGCTAAAAAGAACTGTAAATTTACCCCCCTTTAATATGCCAGTTTAGCCAGTTAAAAAACATTGATATATAAACTTATCAACTTCAAATTTTCCTAACAATAAATCAAATGTGATATAAGGCAATACTTGTTAGAAAAAAAAAATTGATCTCATCAAGGATGTTGATTTGTATTGCTTCAACTACACATAAATTTGTAGTTTTTGTACGTTGTTTCATATTTAACTGTTATCCTGTTTGTTCGTAATTTCATTATCATTGAATATTGTTCAACCTTAAAAATTATCAATGATAGGCAAACAACTGTCTTTGTTTACTAATGGAATTATTTAGATGTATGTTTTTCTTTTATAAATTTGCATAATTTCATTTTAACCAGAATGTTTGTCGTATAAATCGATATTAAACTTGTCCCCAAGCATGCAAGATTTCTTTTAATATTTAGAAATTTAAATTAGAAGGGCTAAAATCCAAGTTTAACCTAGCAATTGTATATAATTAATCCGCTATAATATTATAAAGTTATAAGATCGATGTTTAGAGTGTTAAAATGATTTTATTGAGTCAAAAATTGACTTTTTAATAGCAAAGGAAACTTGTAAATTTATTGAGTTTAATACCGTCTGGCTTGGTATAGGGAAAATATCCCAAAGTCCGATTTGTAAGCACTTTTCCAAACTAAACTCAATATTTTGACATTTTTTTTCATTTTTAAATCTATCCTAATATTTGCGCAGTTGGACCAAAAACAATTTGGCGGTCCATAAAAATCGGACGTAGCCGGTTGAAGAGGAATATTGCCGAGATCCTCCCCCTCGCCTGGTCCAGTTCAAACGGAAATTCAATCATTTTCAAATTGTACAATACGCTTTTTTTCGCCCTTTTAATCGTCCAAAGCGGACCAAAAAGCCTGGTTTAATTTTTCTTTGGCAAATCCCTGAAAGATAAACTCATTTACAGATTGTTTTTAAAAGATTTAAAAGGAATTTTACATAGATAAAATCCTGCGGTTTTCTTTTCTCGTCTTGGTAACTATATAATACTCATTTACGAAGCTTTTAATACGGTGTCATAAAAAAATGAACTTTTTCTTGTTAATTAAAAAAAATTTGATAANCATTTGTAAGTATGTCGGGCTTCGAACCCGGGACCTTTACCTTACTGTGATGAGCGCCGTGTCAACGCCTAAACCGTTGCGGCCACCGACGCCCCTTAGAACTATAACCGTTGTGTTCTATGGTTTGTTGCCATCTCGATGCAGTGTTGGATTGTTTCACGTCACTTTTTGAGTTTTGAACGGAAGAATTCTATAACTCCATTTTGAACCTCATCCAGAGTATTAAAAGTTTTCCCGTGAAGATAATGAGCCACGGTCTGGAACAGATGGTAGTCGGTACGTGCTCAGTCTGGACCGTAAGCTGGGTGAAGTTGAAGCTCAATTCCGTTAAATTTTGTAATTTTTTGTTTCGTGAAACGAGACGTGTTTTGTCGGGTGTTATCTTGTTGAAACATCCGATTTCTTTTTACCAATCCTGTAATGTACCACTGGGTCAAATACATTTCCATAAAATACATTTCCTGTAACTGCTCACAATAAAGTTTCGAATCAGTGGTTGACCTTATAGAATGAACTCATAATGAATTATGCCTTCTTAATTTCATACTACAGAGACCATTGTCTTTTTGTCGCATTGCCCTTTTTAACTGGTAGAGCTGTCTGATTGCAGTGTAGCCATTGTTTCTAGGTCTTGGGATATCAAAATATTTCATCGCAAGTGACTAGTCTTTTGATGAACCGGAGGTCATATGGGTTTTTCAAAAGTTGTTGAGTAATTTCTACTCGGCATCGTGTCTGCTCAATGAGGACCGCTCTTAACGAGCGATTCATATTTCCCGAGTTACACAGTCCACGATTTATGTTGGATTGGGATACTCCAAGCTCTCTTGACAATTAAGTACTTTTTATTGTGTCCCGCAGAGCTTTCTCATCGAATTTTCTTCCAGAACACTCCTCTTGAGGATGTCCGGTCAGAGAAAGCAATTGCCGTACCAAAGGGGTTGTTTCGGCGGCGGAAAACTCTCGTTTCCAATAATGGCTTTATATCACCAAAATTTCAAATTTTATCGTCATGATATTTAACCAAACTCTAAGACAAAACTGCAAGACAAGTTCTTTTTTTACACTTTCATTTTGTATAGTCCACGGATTAAAGTGGTATGAAATCTAATTGAATTTAAAAAAAATAAAGCCTATGAGGGATTACAATTTTCAAGAAAATTAAATCGGTCTTTGTCCTACATCCTATTAATTTTAATTTTTTTTTAATTGTGGCTAGAAGATAAGCTTTCAGAAGAAAACACAGGCAAAATCTTCAAACTCGAAGTAGCGTCATTAAATAATTTCATTGATGAACTAATGAAAAGTTAAATAAATAAGTTATATCAGTTCAGTTGGTAAATATTTATACAGACAAGTTTGATTAAATAACTGTATTGCTGTTTTTTATTCTTGGCTGATTTATTTATTTTATTTTTTTTTTTTTTTAATCGGGTCGATTCGCTTTAGCTATCGTGTAGCGAATAAGGTTCAAAAGAGATTAAAAAAACGAAAAGGATTTCGTATTTTAAAAACACAACTTATATAAATGACCTAGTGTTTCATGAAAATCCAGCAGAAAATGAAGCAATGGCTTCATCGGATTCGTATTTTCGCTGTGTAGGTGGCATTTTCCATTAATAAAATGCCTGTATTTTTAATCTAAGTTATGTAATAAGCTGTTTGGGTTTTTTTTTGTATGTGTATTTTATCAATCGGCTGAGTGTATTTGGGAGGATTTCATCACGCCGGTGTCTGGGGGATGTGACGCCCACCCGATTCCCCACCGTATCGAGCCCAGGGAATCTATTTTCATTCCCCCCAGTGGAATGAGGACCGCGAGTTCACAACGTCCTCAGGACGCCGAGGAAATCGTTCGTACGAGTGGAAAGATCGTGGCGGGCTTTCAGTCTCGTCCTGGCACCGGTTCTGCGAAAGTTTCCTCCGCCTGTGGACACTACGCCCTTTCTCGACGGGCCCTTACCCTATGGATCCGACAGAGGTACTCGACCCTTTTGGACATTGGCAGGGCCCAACCTCACCTTTCATACTCAAATTTCATTTGAAGACTAGCATGACAAACATAAATAAAAAAACACACCTTTCTAATAAAAAGCAAATTTTTAAAAACCATATATTTATAATAAAGCTTTCAAACGTAAAATGCAAAATTCTTCTCTTAAAACCGTCGCATGTTATCTTATCTCAAAGAAGGAAATGGCCATAAATTTTCATATTTAAAAATTTTTCAGTTAATTTATTCATCGTCGACACTTTCCAAAATTTAACGCCCTTATCTTATAGATTTTTCCTATTCATAAATAACGACAAGTCCGAAGTAGAACTTTCTTTTTCAACAACCCTTTACTTACCTTTCTACATAACAATGATACAAAGCTCAACATTGTTCCATTTCTAAATCTTCCATTAGGAAAAAGAGACATTGTACGGAACGTGCATGGACAATTGGAATAAGTGAAAGCAGATAATTAAAATAATTTATCATGAAGCTTTCTTAACAAAAACGATCAAAGCTATTATACAATACATAATAAAAAAATAATTAGAGCTTGCTTTTTTTAAAATAACACGTTAAAAAAATTTTCCACATCCTACATGTATTTGTAAAATTCAAGCAATGTTTATAAATCCCTGAAGATGATCTCAATAAAGATCGAAACGTTGGCACGTTCTAAAACCTACGTCACACCAGACCGCATCTCGCAATCTCCGAATAATCATTTAAAAAACCGTCAATTTTGAAAATCCCTCAAAAGTTTCATTTTATGTTTCCATTGGGAAAAGAGTTTTTAAATGTTTTACTCCGTAAACGACCAGGTTTTTCATAGTCTAAATTTAACGATTTTATAAAGTGGAACGAGAAATGAAACCTTGACGTGGTGAATTAACAGTTTTATTGCCGATAAGCACAAAAAGAAACATCTTCGCGTCATGTATAATTTTAAAAAATTAACATCACTCTAATCTTCGAATCAAATTGATTATGGTAAAGAGCTAAAAGGTCCCAGAGGTTTTTAATCACTAAGGGAATTTAAAATCACATCTAGACAAAAACAATAACAAAAGATGAACACATAGATAAAATTTTACATCTGGCTTTGATTTCTTCATCTTCTTCTGGGCACTCTTAAATGAAATGCCTTCAGTTTTCCTTTTTTTAAATCAAATATGCGCATTTAAATGTTCTTTTAATTTTGTCTTGCGTGTTATAAATAAAAATGAGATAATTTCATTAGAAATGAGGTCATCCTTATAACTGTCCTGTATCTCGTTAGACAATATTTTGATCTTTTATTTACTAGTCTAGGGGGACCTTATTCAATGTCAAGGTTCAGAACGATACAGCGCAAATGAATTTTGTTTTATTGTAAAAATTTATATAGCCGGATGGCTTTTTTTATCTGCTTTGATACCTGAAGGACCCAGGTGCAAAAGTGCTATAAATGAAGCTATTGTATAGAGTAATCTAAAGGACCTAGTTTCCTTTATAGATTTATTGCCTTAATAGTATTTTCTCTGTTACAATGAGAAAAAACATAGGAAAAGTGGTACATAAGATATTCACTGAGATAAGGGTTTTGTTTGTTTTGTAGGAATGGAAAGATCGGAACGATAAGGTAGAGGAGTTAAGAAGATTAGCAGATGCCATATCTAAAGAGGTAGGTATAGAGGTGCTTCGACCCGAAGTCGACTCATTGGCCAAGAGGCTTCAGGACGCACAGTTGTCCCTCAAAGCCATCGACGCTGCTGATAAAATCAAGCAACCCGTAATCCTCGAAGATATCAAAAAGGTAAGAAATATATTTTTCCCCGTAGATTAAATATCTAGCTTTTTTTATCGTTGACGTTTCAAGAGGGTAACGAACAGCCAAAGTGGGACATGGCAAGTGAAATAAAGTAGAGTTCTGCGGTGTTGACAGGGAAAGGCTCGCATGACGAAGTGAAATTAAAAGAAGTTAAATTCCGGGCTGTTTGATTAGTTTTCCCACTACTTTCCCGTTTGTGTGTGTGTGTTTTTGTGCTTGTGTGTGTTCGCGGGGCATTGTTTACATTTGCGTGTCACACCCTTCCTCCGCTTTGCAAAACTTTATCCATTCACCTTGAACAATTACTCCATCGATCCTGAAAACATAAATCAGATTTGACTTCTTTATTTCCTTCTCCCGTCCACCTCGTTGTATTAAATACTAATTTCGAAACGCCATATTAATTAAGTTAAATATACGTATAATATAAATATACACTACTTTTAATGAGTGAAGGAGTGATGAACAACTCATTTATTTTGAGACACGCATCTATCAGCGTTTCTTGTCCAGATTTCACGCAGTAAATTCCTTTTGTTAACTCTTTTCCCATAAAACTGCCTTTTATGACTACTTTGTCTTATTATAAAGTTTGCACTCGTTAGTGTTTTCCAATCCCACAAAAAAATTGGTTCTGCAATTTGGCCGTTACCGATCTATTTGATCTTCATATCTTGCAGACTTAGGAGGAAATTTAACAAATTGTTTCTGTTGGTTCTCTTTCCATTAATTACCTTTACATTCAAAACTGATTAATAAATAAAGTTGTATTTTATACATAGTCTTTGATAAATTGTAACTAGAAATACTTCCTTCGTGTGGGATCGTGCATCGGTATGCGTTTGTGTTTGGGTTTAGCACATATATGTGTTCGTGCGTCGGTATGCGTGTATGTTTGTGCTTTAATACGTATGTTTGTTTGTGCGTCCGTATGCGTATGCGTTTTCCTTTTACGATTCACTAAAAATGGTAGATGATGTTTTTTATCTTCTATAAAACTTTTTCGAATTTTATTGCCGGATATCTATCTTTCTGTTCTCTTTCTGTCTGTCTCTGTCTCTCTCTCTCTCTCTCTCTCTCTCTCTCTCTCTCTCTCTCTCTTTCTTTCTTTTTCTTTCTCTTTCTTTCTTTCTTTCTTTTTTTCCTTTTCTTCCCTCTCCCTCTGTAATTCTCTCTCACTCTCTCTTTCTTTCTTTCTTTTTTTCCTTTTCTTCCCCTCTCTTTCTTTCTTTCTTTTTTCCTTTTCTTCCCTCTCCCTCTGTAATTCTCTCTCACTCTCTCTTTCTCTCTCTCTCTCACTTTCTTCTGTCTCTCTTCTCTCTTTCTCTCTCTCTCCTCTCTCTTCTCTCGCTCTCTCTCTCTCTCCTCTCTTCTCTCGCTCTCTCTCTCTCTCTCTCCCTCTCTCTCTTTCTCCCACTCTTTCTCTTTTTCTCTCTTTCTCACACACAATCATTCTCTCACTCACTCTCTCTCTCTCTCCTTTCTTTTTTCTTTCTTTCTCTCTTGTTCCCCTCTGTGTATGGGTGAGTGCGTCTATATAACTTTTGGTCTCTGAGTCTGTTTTTAGTGCATGCGCTTTGTGGGTGTGTTTGTCCCCCCCCTCCTATTATACTAAGTCAAACTCTGATGGGGAGAGTGTATTTTTTTCTTGTGGTCACCAATTTTGTCTTCTATGGAGTTAATCTCGCTCTTGCTTAGCCTCTATTTTCAATTTGAATATCAAAAATTGGACTTTGTATATAACTATATACCAGCTTTATCGTTTTCAAGGAGTTCAAATTCTTCTTAAACTGTTGGGAAAAATTGTTTTGAGGAGAAAACAGTCCACTTGACTTCCTATCTGATCATGAATTTTCTTTGACAAGTAGGCTCCAGGGATGTCAATAGCTATGTCATTTTAGACTTAACACAAGCAGTTTTTAAACTTAGAAATACTTTCACTCACTCTTCAACATATCTTTCTTATTTACATACTATTCATTAACAGAAGGCGTTCCTTCATTATTTACATTTTACATGTACGACTAATCAAATTGAACTATTAATATATATCTATCAGGGTCTAACTCTATACGTTCACTCACAATATACACAAAGATGAATATATCTATATACAATAAAACAGCCCTGTTTCCTCCAAGAATTGGAGCAGGGAATCAAATACTCATTTCTTTGTTTAAACACAATTCTCTTATTGGGTAGAATTTTAACCTTTTGTGTTGCAAATTAAAAAAAAAGTTTTTAATTGTTGTTTTAGACTCTAAAATCAGTCGAAGCTGAGAAAGAACCCACCAAGCAATTAACTGCCCTAAGAGACCATCTGGTATTGCTCAGTAAAACTGAAGACCAAATCGTCGACCTCGGTAATGAGCCGTACCGAACCGACAGCTTATCTGTGATGCAACTTCTTCAAGTAAATTGAACAGAATCCTCTAAATAAAAATAACCCGGATCTGAACTATTGAACTGTCGAATTTACAGCTTTGGGAGAAAATATTCCGAGAAACTTTCCAAGAATACCACAGGCTATCGTCAAGACTTATAAACACAGAAGAGAGCGCGAACGTATTGACGCTCTGGGAAGATTACCTACATCACGTCAATCAATTTTTAGACTCCTCTTTGCCCCAACACTATCATGAGCTTTCAGACCAAAATAAATTGTGCCAAGTAAGTTAATTTAGAAGTAAATAAAATAAATATCCTAACTATGCTTCTTTGCATATCTTACTTTGATGTGTTAATTATGCATATTTTTCTAATTTGTTAAAAAAAATTTCAAGGTACATCATGATGTTATCAGTTGCCAAAAATCTTTAATACCTAGCCATAAAGCTAATGCTGACAAGTCAGTAATAGAGCAGTTCAACAGGTTGACCAATGTTCATAATGAAACATTGGCAAGAATCATGGATAAGCAGACTGAGGTAAGATTGATTTTATTTAGCATTTTTCCTTAAAATAAACTACTCTTTCTTTTTTTCTAGATACAAGGACGATTGATATCATGGGAAAAGTACAGGCAGGAGCAAAATCTTTTGCTCAATTGGCTGAAGGATGCCGAAACGGATAGGAATAAACTAAAACTGCGATACGTCCATGCGAAATCTCTTGGGAAGACGATCGCTGCTATTCAGGTATGCTCCTGTCAGGTGAAATCCATCCGAATCGGGACAAACTTTCTTAAACATTTTACTTACAGGTCATGCTGAAACGGTTCCACGAAGGTGAAGAAATGGAAAAATCTCTTCACAAAAAGTTGAACATGATAATGAAAGTGTGCGATGACAGCTTGGCCAATTCTTTGAAATATGAACATTCCTCAATATCCAATAGAATGTCTAACCTACAAGCAGCACTACGTACATGGTAATAACAGATTTCTAAGATAGTTTATTGCACTGTTGAAATTACTATTTTCGAGCTGCTCCTAGTTTTCAAATAGAATTTTTAAATATAGTGCTAGCTTATAACATTGGTTTTAATGACGCATTGTTATCTTAAATTTTAGGAAAGACAGTTTGATGAGAGTTAAGGAGAATTATGACACATATGAAAGTCAGGTTAACAAAATACAGTATAAATTTAAAGACATACAAAATCATTTGTCAAATGAAACTCATGAATCTCAACAATTTATTCCATATGAAAAACTAGAACATAGATTAGCTAAAATTGAGGTAAATACATTTTTTTGAAATCTGTTGACTTCTGAACAAAGATAAACTTATATTTCTATTTTTATAGGAGGTTTCGAGGGAAGTTGATGCACTCGGTGGTGATATTAGTTACCTCGAAGAGCTGAAAGATGTCCTGAAGGACACTTTGAGTCCGAACGACATAAAACTAATGTCACAAAGATGCTGGCTGTTTTCACAACAGCAATCTGACCTCGAACACCAGCTCTCCTTTGTGAGGCAAACATTAGAAGATCAAATTCAATTAGCCCATCTTTACGACAAGAGGTAATTTGTATATTGTATTGTATACTTGTCCTTGATTTTTCTAAAGCCTTCGATTCTGTCCCTCACTTTTCTCTCCTCTCTAAACTCGAATCTTTTTCCTTCTCCGCCAGCACCATCCGTTGGTTCCACTCCTACCTTACCAATCGCCACCAAGCTGTCTCCCTTCCCAATGGCCTTACCTCCTCCTTCCTCCCTCTAAAATCTGGGGTGCCCCAAGGCTCTAGCATCTCTCCTATCCTTTTTTCCATTTATATCAATGATCTGCCCGACTCCATCCAGTCCTGTAACTATCACCTATATGCCGATGACTCCCAAATATACATATCCTTCCACCCTTCCGATCTTCACTCGGCCACTCTCAAGATCCAAAAAGACCTAAACTCCATCAACGAATGGGCCCATAAAAATTCCCTAGTCCTCAATCCGTCCAAATCCACCGCCATAATTATCGGGTCCAGGCAACTCCTCAATTCCCTCCCCAGCATCCCACCTCTCATGCTAAATAACCATCCCATCCCCTTCTGCTCTTCAGTTAAAAACCTAGGAGTAGTCTTTGACCAAAACCTTTCCTGGCATTCTCACATTTCCCAAATTTTCCGCCATTCCATTACCTCCCTCAGCCTGTTTCGTCGGTCCTGGCTTCTCTTACCTTTCTCCACCCGGAAAATCCTTGTATCTTCCCTTATACTTCCTTCTTCGATTATAGCTGTTTGGCATACGGCGGTCTCTCGGAGGGGGAGACCGCGCTATTGAAACATATTATGAATTGTTGCGTAAGATTTGTGTACGGCACCCCACGGGGATCCCGGGTGTTGGGGTTGTATTCCCAACTTTCCTGGCTATTCCCCTCCTTCCGTGCACAGTATTTCCTAGGTTGCTTTCTTTTCCAGTCCATCCACACTTGTCATCCTACATCATCCAATCCCTCCAATTCAACTCCTCACACTCGTAACACCTGCTCATCTCCTATTGACCTTATCCTTCCGCAACATACAACCCATACCTTTGAAAGATCATTTCTGATCCGAGCCCCTAAACTCTGGAACTCCCTTCCCCTTTCTATTTGTCACGCTGCCTCCTTTTCCACCTTTAAATCCCACCTGTATAATCACCTCCTCTCCCTCCAAGCAGAGACCTCATGTTAACATTTGTTATTTTTGTTTAATGTTCTCGTAATTTTTTCTTCTGTCCTGTGCCTTATTGGTATACATTGTGCCAAGATTTCTATTTTTTTTTTTTTTTTTTAACTTCATAGAAGATGCTTCCTTTATTTAGTTCATGTAAATTATTCTTAGGGGACACCAGTTCCAGAATAAAGTTATTTTTCTTCTTCTTCATCTAATTTGTATAAATCTCGTTTTTATTCAAAATTAAATTTTCATAAATGCTTCAGGTTCGAAAGGTTCTTGAACTGGGCTAAAGGCGTCGATGAAAGATTGGACAGAATGTCTAGTCATAGATTCATGGATGCAGGACAAGCACTTAGACGTCTAGAAACAGAGATCCAATCTGAGGTGTCTATTAAGAAAAAAGAAGTCGATTGGCTATCTACGACTGGCCGGGAACTCTTAAGTGTCGAAGATGAGGGCACACCTCATGGAAAACGCTTAACCCAGTCGTTAGAAACATTAACAAAAACATGGAAGAATATCCTTGCCAATACTGACGGAAGGGCTGCAAAATTACGTACAGTCATACAGGTACTGTTTTCATTATATGTACTCACGATTCCCATCTAATACTATTTTTTGTCACAGCACATGGCTGAATTAGAAGTAAAAATGGAACACTTGAGGACTTGGCTTCAAAATATGGAACATAAACTTTCGCTTCCTTTTACTTTTACTTCTTCTTCGAGTGATAATTTTGAAAAACTTTTAAAAGAACAAGAGGTAAATTTTTGTTTTGTTAATGTAATAACATTGTTATAATGATGTTTTAATTTTAATCTGTTGTTATCAGGAGCTTCAAACTGAAATAGAACAACACAGTTCTGAGATCGGTGAGGTACTTAATCTGTGTGAACTTCTCTTAAATGACTGTGAACTGTGCCACATAGTTTTAGACACTGAGGGTATTACAATGGCAATGAATAATATTGAAAGGAGGTATTTTCATTTTTATAATTTAATTAATTATTCTTTTCATGTCTTGGTTGAGATGAAAATATTTAATATATTACATATATATATTTTTTTAGATGGAGCATCATTTGTGTGCTTTCTAATGAGAGAAGGAGCTCCATTGAATCTCTATGGGCCAAAATTCAAAATATCTTTGTCATGGTTGATGAACGACAGACCTGGATGGACAATATGGCAAAGGAAGTTACCGTGCTTGAAAACCATTTGACTCCACCTTTATGCAATGTTGAGAATATTTCGCAAACTAATCAAAATTTGAAAGTATGTTTTAAAAGCATTCTATTTAAAAATTAAGACTTTATATTGATTTAAAAAAATTTTAGGCTGTTGAATCAGACATCAAATCACTCAATAGCGAAGGGCTTAAACTACTTGATGAAACATACCGAATCCTTTTGAGAAAGTACTCTTTGCCAAACGATATAATCGGCTTACCAGAGAAACTACAAACAGCTGAAGAAAACCTCTTAAGTAGAGTTCAAGGTGCAGAAAAGACTGCTGACTCAAGAGCGAAGAGTTATGAGAAATTTTTGAAAGCTCAGGAAAGGGCGGTTACTGCGATGGTCAAATGTGACGCTATGTTGACAATGGCTGAAGTAAAGGAGATGGCGGAAATCAATACTCCTGAAGCTCTAGTTAATCATTTGGATGTAAGTCTTCAATCATTAAAATAAAATTTAACAAATTATTTATTACTTTACCTTCAGGAAATTGAGAAGATTCTAAGAGAAGAGAATGACAATATGAGAGAGGCTGATGAATTAGGATTAAAGGTAATGAAATGGTGTCCCGATAAAGACATAAACAAGATAAAACATATGATGGACGAATATCAAAGTATTTGGAAGGATGTGAAGCTACGTTTAGCTGCGATTAGAGATTCCAATATATTACCTGTAAAGGTTGGTTTTATTTTAGCTTTTTAAATTACTATTCTTGGGTTAATTTTACTTTTTTTGTTTTTAGATGACAGATCAAAGTGTAGAAGTAAGTACTCTCAAATTTGAAACAGACAGAAGCACCCAAGTAGATACACTCGGGTGGAATGATAGCCCGATTTCAAGGAAAGACGCTTTCATTACAAATCTTCAGACATCAATAGAAGATATGGAACAGATTTTATCCAAACTAGCAAAACTAGACGATTTTGAAACTTACCAGAAAATTGTAATTATCGAACATTATTTTGCAATATTTTGGCAATCAAATAATAATGAATATTTTTTAGGGAAATTGCATTAGCCAGTGTGACTCGACTTTTGATTATGTAAAACACCTAAGTGAGCTGCTTTTAGAACAGTATGATGCAAATGAGACTGAGGCGCAAGTTGAAAAGATAAAATCTATCAACGATCGCTTCAAAGCTTTAAGGCAGCAAGCTCAACTGAAATTGAACCAACTTAAAGAAACGAGGTATTCGATTGTTCTCTTATCGTGGCGTCCAAGTGCATGTTAATGTAACAGTTATGTTTAGGTATACTGTGAAGATTTCAACATATATCAAAAAAAGAAAAATTTAATTTACAATATGTACTATGAAAAAACAGAAGACTTCATGTTGTCTAGTTGATTTTAAAAGAGATTAAGGTATTATTTCCGTAAGACAATTTTTGTAGTAAATTGCCAAATTTTAACACAAAAAAAAACATTCTTATTGAATATATTGGTAGTCATTATTTATAAAAACCAATTTATCATGCTTCTCAGGTCTTCCGTTATGGATAAATATAGGCTTACATGTAAACAGTTAAGTTTAAAAAAAATTCTAAATTTAGCATGGACACCATAATTTTTCGACAGCATTTTTTTGGTTTTTAAATTATTATTTTTGCACGATACTTATGTACTAGTGTTGTTATACATTAATTGCATTGAAGATTATTTTTTCGCCAATCAAATTTTATATTTTTAATTTTTTTTTAAATTTCTGTATCAGTGCACATGGAAAGCTATCTTGCCCTCTTTGTTCCAACAACAACTGGAAACAATTAGACAATGATCTTTGGCGGCTGGAACAATGGCTACAGTGTGCAGAAGGCCGGTTGTCTTCGCAACCGTCGACCCCTCCAACTTCTATGGAACAATTAGAAGACGTAATCCAAGACCAGAGGGTATGAATTTGCCAAGCGTTTTCCTTTTTTACATGGAATTACTTCAGATTTAAAATTTTCAATTTATCTAGGAACTGCTATTAGACCTCGACAGTCATAGGAACCTAGTTGTCTCTATGAACATCGTCGGTACACATTTAGCCGAACACAGTGATAGCGAAGAAAGAGCAAGGGATCTGAGGACCAGGTTAGCAAACGACAATTTGAGATGGGACAGAGTTTGTGAATCCGCTGCCTCATGGCAAGCTAAACTGCAGACTGCTCTCATTCAGGTACTATATACTTAATTTATTTTTGAAAAATGTATTTGACATTATTTTAATATTAATTATTTGATTTTAGAATGGCGAGTTTCACGATACAATAGCTGAGCTCACTGCTTGGTTGGAAAGGACAGAAGTCAGCATCAATCAGTCAGAACCTATCAATCTTAATGATCCAGCTAATTTAATACAAGCTAAACTGGAAAAATTTAGGGTAAGTTATACATGACATTTAAATAAATGCATATTTAACTGATTTTCCTCAAACAGGAGTTGAAGCAGGAGCTTGAAAGATGCGAGCCTAGAATAATTTCCCTTGAGGAGACTGCACGCCAAGTTATGACAGAAGAAACAAAACTAGCATGTCAAAAATTACACAGAATGAGACTAAGATTACAATCCTTGACTCGTTTGACAGCGCTCTATTTAGCCCGATTAGCCGGTGCTCAGCCACCTACATCACAGCAGGTGAATGTAAATTTTGTAACATGTGGTTTGTGCAAGGTTTGTTATATTGTCATATCGAATATTTTCATTATTTACTTATCTTTTATATCATGTAAGTATTGATGTGATGTAAAAAGTGAACAAGCATAAAAATAATGAAAATATGTCCAATATGCTTTACCAAGCAAACCAGTCCAAATCACAATATTGTTTTTTTGAAAAAAAGCATGGTTTTGTTAGTTGTTAATTTAAAATTTTGCTTACTATAAATCTTTGAAATTTTGAATGAATTAGTGGAGCTTTAGATTGAAATTGGCTTTTCTTACACTGGAAAAATTAGCTAGCACAGCATTAAAAAAAAAAGAGAAATTAAGTTTCCTGAGTTATTAATAATTTAAATTTCATTGTAAATCATTTAATATTTATAAATTAAATAGTAAATTTTTTTATTTGAATTAAAAAAAAACAGGACCATGAAGAATTTGACTTAATTTTATAAATAGCACAAAACACTATTAATTTAATATCGATTATTTTTAAATTTTTCTTTTAGCCTTCGGAGTCATCAGACCAAGGAGATCAAGTTGATATGTGAGTATTTCTACACAATTAGTATTAGAATTTAGTTTGCACGTTTTATTTAAATTAGAATACCGTGTATGTGAATAATTGTAATAACGATTGGAATTTGTTTCAGTGGAGAAGAGGTTGAAACCAGGACGTTAGTTAGGTGTCACAATTTCCTTGGTAGGGTGATGAGAGCTTCTGTGCCAATAAGTGCGTTCCTTTTGCTACTGCTTGGCGCAGCAACTCTTATTCCGCAGTCTCAACCAGATTTCGCTTGCGCTGAAAGTATTTTGTACAACTGGGCGCCTATACTACGATATCCTTATGGCCATCCACCCATATAAATTGAGAGAAAATTTTATTATATGCAGATGCAATTTTAGTTATATATATTTTTGTTAAAAACAGAGATAAAGAGCATATTTTATGATAATATTGTATGTAGAACATGTAAATTTGTAAAAAAAAAAATCAAATAAAAGGAAAGAAAGGTCGTTAATTAAATAATGATAAAAGGCTAATAATAAAGAATCTCCCAGGAGGAAAACGAAAATAAACAAAGCTTTAAACGAATCGAAAAATTTATTTTACCGAATTAAATTTTTAAATTATTTTTTTATTTTCATGTATAATTATGCTTAAAATCATTGATGAGGGGAGAAATTGTAAGGAGAAGAAATCAATTGTTGAAGTTCTTCGAACCAAACCTTTGGGGGGTTTAAATTTATCACGCTTTAATTTATTCTACAGTTTAGTATTACAATTATAATTTTAAGCAAAAAGTGCCTAAACTGGAATTATGTTAGTTTCCATAAGATATTACTAATTATTGATTAAGTTGTAAAAGAGTTATTTCTAAAAATAAAATAACAAACATGTTTAAAAGCTTTTTATTTAAAGTACCTTTTATTCTAACCTGTTTATTTTTAAAACAACAGTTCGATAAAATATTATCATGACACAATTTCCATGTTTTGATATGAAAGTGGCTAGTTTTAAACCATAATTGCATCTTTGATCATACTGGAGCAGTCATGCCTATTTTCATTGGTTTTATCCAACAAACACATGCATGTTTTCATTAATTGATGTTAATTATGATTAAGCTACAGGCTCATTGTCATTTGAAATTGTGAAAATAAGCGAAACAAGATACGGTAACTTTCTCAATGTGTAAACCAAAACGAAACCAGGACCACACCATATGGTATGAATTCTCCAATACTTCAACAATTACACTAAAAACTTTGATTAATGATTACGTTTAGATGTTTTATTTGTCAATAAAAAATGAGTTAATGTCTGACCAATCATATTATCTACAAACTTTTCCATGTTGTTCTAATAAATTGGACATAAAATGGATGCAGGATCTAACACTATCTGTTGTGTAATAATAAAAGCACCTTCAATTAAAAAAAAAAAAAAAAGGTGATAGCCCCTGGAGCTTAACTTCTCTGGCCCGATTGAGAAGAACCCTAGAAATGGGCACTTCTTGTTTTGCCATGAAAATCATCTATTGCTGGTTTTAGCAATCTGGGATCAGACTCCAGTCTTATATGTCCATAAGGCCCGGAACATTTTTTCTTATAAAATAAAGATTCCACTAATTAATTTGAAAAATACACAGCTTGGCCCTTCTCAATTTTGTCCTTTCAGTCTGACCGCTGATTCAAGACTCCTCTTTTTTAAATCTTACTCCTTTGGCCCTCTATGCACCTTATTGGCCTGTTGTAAGGAGAAAATGGATATCTTATATATTGCCCGTCAGGGAACTGAATTCTCACCTTATATACCCATTAGGGCGGGTGTTCCTCAGGGAAGCATACTTGGCCCTTTTCTATTTTCCATATACACTGCAGATATTCCTACACATGTTAACATTTGTTGACACACACATTCGCTGATGCAATTCTTACATGTAATTCGGACCCCTCAAGTAACTCAACACTTACAAAACCTGAATGAATAAACAGTATGGTTCACAAAGTGGAGAATAAAGATAAACCTAACGAAAAGCGCACAGATAAATTTTACCTTATGTAAAAATGTCTGTCCTGCGGTGAGTATAAATGGAATTCCATTGCCTACCAACCTTGTGCGTTATGGAAAGTGAATTTATACAAAAAAAAAATATTTTTTATATTCGATCAAAGTATTTCTACTCACTCAAAGTGTTTGTTTTCTGCATAAGTAGAAATACTTTGATCAAATATAAAAAATATATTTTTTTTTGCATTGTATAAATTCACTTTTTTCCACATCCTACATGTATTTGTTAAATTTAAACAATGTTTGTAAATCCCAGATCCTGAAGATGATCTCAAAAAGATCGAAACGTTGGCACGATAAAGAAAATGTTTTTCTGAAACCTACATCACACCAGACCGCATCTCACGATTTCTGAATAGTTACAAAAAATCAAATTTTTCCCAAATTTTATTATCAATTGCATTTAGAATAAAACTGTCTTAGTTATATCTGTGACTTTCATTGTACAATCTTTTCCATAGTTAAATAATTGTTTTTACTGTTAAAAATTAATTTTTACAATATTTTTGTTCACTTTATCATGGAACATGACGAAACGAAATAATTCGTCATGACTCATGATCAAGAGGGAAGTGTTATAGAGGTTGTTCAGCAACAGTTTTCATGGTCGTGCTGGTCAGCAACATCTACGAAGGAGGTTTTTATTCATCATGGTTTTGACAATTTGACGTTTCTTACGTTAGAGTATTTTTTTATACCCCTATAGTTTCTCTTTTATTTGCTTGTAAATTGTCCATAAAATGAGTGGTAATTTCAGCGACGTTGTTCGTCTCGCCAATCTCGACGATTTTATTACACCATCTCAGGTAAAAATTAAACGCAATAATTTTAATTTCAACAGTTTCATTTTAATATTGTTATTTTCTTTTTTTAATAGCAATGTATAAAACCAGTGGAAATAAAAAAAGAGCCTTCGGGCACAGGATCTAAAATTAAGATAGATGATGATGGTTCTTACTACAATGTCAACAGTGTAAGTTATTGGAATAAACAAAGTAAATATAACTGTAATTATTAGAAATAGATGCAATTTGGCATGTCACATTGCCAATTTGTCAGCATTCACATTGCCAATTTGTCAGCATAGATTTCCAGAGCACAGGATCATCTTTGTATTCTCACTCCCACCGAGCTCGTAGAAAGATTTGAAGACCATGCAGTAGTAATTCCCAATAGCAATAGATTTCCTCCTGCAGTGTGGTGGATCTGTAATGCAATCCTTATCGATCATTTTGATCTGTTTATTCCCACTGGGCACAGACACGCTGAAAATGGCGAGGTGATGAAATCTGTCAGTGAGGATAGGTAGAGTGAGGTGAGGATAAAAGTACAGTTCCCAGTAGTGATAGATTCTCTCCTGTGGTGTGCAGTATGATGAACCTGTAATGTGATCCTTATTGATTTTTTGATCTGCGTATTTTGTCTGGGATGGTAGTCTGGACAAACACGCTGAAGATGACAAGATGACAAAATGTGTCAGACAGTGAGGACAGGTAACCGAGGTGGGGATAAAATTATAGTTCCCAGTAGTGATAGATTTCCTTCTTTGGTATGGAGTGTGATGAACCTGTATCGATCGATTTGATCTGCCTATTTCCTCTGGGTTTGTAGTCTGCACAGACATGCTGAAGATGGCTAAATGTAACAGAGTGAGGATATGTAGACCAAGGTAAAGATAAAATACAAATTCCCAGTAGTGATAGATTCTCTCCAGTGGTGTGCAGTATGATGAACCTGTAATGTGGTCCTTATCCATTATTATATCTGCTTATTTTCACTAGTTTGGTAGTCTGCACAGATACTCTGAAGATGGCTAAATGTGTCAGTAAGTGAGGATGGGTAGATAGAAGTAAGGATCAAATTACAAATTCCCAGTGGTGGTTCCCAGACAGGCTGGTGCAATACATACCGTAGAAGAGGCAAGGAATCTTTCAACCTCATAACTGACTTGTTGACTCAAAAGAGGCATTAGCCATATATTGGACCAGCTGAAAGAAACGTTATTGAGTTAAATCGCCCTCATAGATCCTGAGTTTTTTTCTTTCCCCCTTCTTCAGAGTCACTGCTAACCACTGTGATATAAAAGATCTGTTGTGAAATTGACCCTTCTTTATATCCAAACAGCAAAAACTGCACTAACCTTAATGTAGTTTAGTAATTTCTGGGCTTCCCCTTTACTTATTTCTTTAGTCATTAACATTTCTTTTTGAAGAGTCTACCGTTTCCAGTGAAATGCTTTGCAGTCACCAAGGACATGGTTCCTATGTTTCTATTTCTTCATGACAAAGTCAGCAGATTGTCTCAGTTTTTCCATTTTTCAAGATGGTAATAGGATCAGCAACAGCCAATATAAGCATATTTTTCATTAATTCTTACCTACTAAGGGGGTAAAAAGAAAAAAGAAATAAAATAAAATGAATAATAATTTTAAAAAAAGGTGGTAAGATTTTTTCCTGTTTGAGATCTTGACTAATTAACCATTTGTCTTGTTTTGCAATTGGTACTAGTGATGGTCATTCCTTTTTTTTTTCTTTTTTTTCAGTTCTGCTTTTGACATGCTTTGTAGCATGCCAATTTGCGGTTCTGGTCCAAAGGATGTGAAGGCTGCATCTATTTTACTAGTTTGTTGGCCATTGCCGTCAATTTCCTCCTGTCCTAGCACCCACATCAGAACAATTTCGTTTTTCTAGGAGGCGGAGATATGTTAAGCCACATTTGAATTAAAGGTGGAGAAGTCTAAGGCTTCCCTTACTTGCCTGTCTGAGAATATGTATATCCTGCACCACCGGATCCTTTTCTAAATATTTCTTGAGCACTTGGTTCTATTGTGTAGATCTCAGCAATAAAAATTGAAAGTGTAGGGCCTAGAGATTAGAACATGAATTGGTTTATTTTCCTTTGACTCAGAATAGGCCGTATTGACACTAGCTCTTACGTATGCTAATGTTTTTATCTGGCAAGCGGAGAAAAGCCATTAATGTTACCATGTCAAGGCATGACACCAGATGAGAGCATACCAGGTATATAGTTTTCTTACTAACTCGTTAGTATGTGAGTAAATGCATTTATATGATCTTTACTTATGTTAGTTACATAGTATTATGGGATATTGTATAGTGTTATCAAGTAGCATGTATATAGAAAATGTTTATAACTTGATTTGAGAGCTCTAAGATAATTTTTAATGTACAATGGACAGGATGGAAATGGCCAACTTATTGCCTGTCTTATCTACTTGTCCAGTAGATTATTCTTATTTTTCACATAAAGAAGTCTAATTCCCAATAATAATAAATTAAGTTAATTTATAATGAACCAAATCTAGGCTGGAGAAAAAAGTAAGCTGGGAAGAGTTGATATTTCTTTGGCCGATTGTTTAGCTTGTAGTGGATGCATTACAACTGCCGAAACTGTACTGATCACGCAACAAAGCCATGAAGAAATGATGAAGATGTTCAAAAATAAGGATGAAGTAAGTGGTGAATTAATATCAATTTTTTTTAAATTAAAGTATTCTGTTAATTCTAGCTTGGGATAAAGCAAATTGTCGTTTCGATACAAATCCAACCCATACTGTCTTTAGCAGCGGCGTACAAATTGACTCCAAATGACTGCCTTCAAAAGTTGACAGGTTTAAAACTCTTCTTTTTCTGTTTTTAATATATTTAGGATTTGGAATAATATTTATAATAATAGGCTTATTGAAGCGCCTCGGTGCTGATATGGTTTTGGACATGGGTTTGGCAGAAGATCTTGCACTAGTGGAGGAACAAAAAGAATTTATTAACAGATATGAAAGGTATTCAAATGGTGACAAAACAGCATTACCAATGCTTGCTTCAACTTGCCCTGGTATAGAATTTCATTCAATAAATAAGAGAAAGTTCTTACATGTATTTTGTTTTAAGGTTGGGTTTGCTACGCTGAGAAAACTAAATCTCATTTACTTCCGCATTTGAGCACTTGTAGGTCACCTCAGCAAATCATGGGGAGGCTTGTAAAAGGATTTTTATCAAAATCCTTGGGCATAAAGCTATCTGAAATATATCATGTCACTATCATGCCTTGTTATGACAAAAAGCTAGAGGCTTCAAGACAGCAGTTTCAGACATCCGATGTCAGAGATGTTGATTGCGTAGTCACCCCCGGTAAACAGTATATTCTTATTTACCATAATTTATTATTTAACTTATTGATCTGGTGTAGTGGAAGTTGCAACACTGTTCAATGATGAGAACATAATGCTCAACTTAGAGTCGAACATGGAACCTGACTGGCCTTGGCAAAACGTTCTACCATACCGATATCTAACAAGGCCCCAGGGGTCAAGCTCAGGGGGTTATGCATATCATGTTGCCGAATTCACCTGTAGTCATTTTAATTTAAATCAACCTTTAGATTTCCGTCGGCCTAATGCTCGGTTTGTGTTTTACCATAGTGTTTTATTAAATTGAATTTCCCTTCAGGGTTAACAGTCATTTCTATTTTAGGAGAAGTGATGTTGAGACTGTAGAAATCACTAACGGAGAAACGACTTTGAAAATTGCTGTTGTTACTGGTTTCAAAAATATTCAAAACATGGTTAATAAAATAAAGAGAGGCAACTGCGACTTCAGTTATGTTGAAGTGATGGCTTGTCCTTCAGGTAATTTATATAACAAACAAAAATTAAATCCTACGAATACTCTGGATCACAGTATGATTTTGATGAAAAATAAAATTCAGTTTTTACTGTCAATTTTTTCAGCCTATTTTAAGGGACTGAGTCGGTCTTCATAGAAATTTGAAATTGTCTGTGAAAAAACGTAATTAAGCCAATTTTTAGTCATATTTAAGATTGCTTTGACCTGCTTTTTCATCAAGATCATATTGTGATCCAGAATATTCAGTGGTCAATAAATCTAAAAAAAATTAAATAATGAGATTTCTTTGTGGTCTACTTGATGAACCTGTAGTTTGGTTTTTACCGATCATTTTTGTCTTTTGAATATGTTTGTGACACACCAAAGATGGCGAAATTCTGAAATGCGTCTGAAAAATAAGCAGACCAAAATGATTAGTAACGACCAAATTAAAAAAGAAATTGTTCAAAACTCAACAACTGTTATCAATATTTTAGGCTGTTTGAATGGAGGTGCACAAATCAAAAGCCAGTACAAAGAAGTTGAATCTTTATACCGAGATCTTGAACAGAGGAAAATAGGAGAACTTCATGATCTGTACGAAAAAAGTTTTATAGGCGTAAATTCTGAAGGATGCAATGAACAATTGCACACCACATTTGAAGCAGTTACCTACAACCCAAATCCACTTAGCATTAAATGGTGAACTTTGTAAATTATGTATTTCTTTTAGTGTAAATAAACATGTTTTATTTATTTAATGAATTTATTGTTTTCCTGTTTTACTTGTGTGATATAAATATTTTCTAAAGCAAAAAATTATTTGTTTCATACACAAAACTCATCTAACAATTTCTCTGAAAATCAAAGCTGGTATATTTATTTTTATTTTGTCTTATTTTAGAATTAATATCGATTCATAATTACAAATAGAATGTAGAAAATAATCTATTATAAATATAAACATATTAACTTATTTTCTTAGATTATCAAATTCCTGGCTCTTCAGTATTTTAATACTACGGATATTATGAATATCAATGGAATCATTAAATGAATTCGTTTCTGACAAGTATAAGAAAGAAATATTCCATAAATAGTTCTTTGTTGCCCTGCCAAATTATATGGTTGATAGGCAATTAAACTTAGTAATTCTAGACAATCAACGTGATTATGGAACAGTTTCCAGGCAAAGATAACTGTGAATAATTCCTCGATTCAGGAGTTAACAGAGAGAACTGGTGGAGCCAAATGAATAGCCATCACCACTGAAATGAACCATAGAAAAGTTTTAGAACTTTATTAAAGTTATCAAAAATATAAGCATGGTGCTCCAGATTAGACAGGCATAATCTATAATACTTTGTACAAGAGTAAAAAATAGGCCTTTAACAACTCTAACATTTCTAAAATCACCAGTTCTATGGATAAACTCAACCATCTTAAAACATTTGGAAAATACCGTACAAATATATACAGAAAAGGGTAAATGACTATCAAAAAGAACACCAAGATCACAGATTAGAGTAGTGCGAGATATAATATTAGATGTAACAAAATTTAATAATTGTTTATGAACGACTGAAACAAATTATATTACATATTTTGAGCTCCATTTAGAAAATGTCATTGTGCATTTTATCACCGTCACCAATAGTGGTAATGACATAACTCATCAGCAAAAACTAAAAACTGAGGAAGATAGGCTAGAATCAAAGAGATAATTAAAATACAATATAAATAATATGGGGCCAAGGTGGAAAAAATTATAATTAAAGGTTTGGCACCCAAGACTGTGCAAGCTTAAAGCACAGCACTTCCTTGACACCCGTCTTCAGGAAAATGTCTTAAGAAACAAAACACAATGGTTTAGGTCTAGATACAACATTTAGCACTGTAAGGCAAAAGTCCAGCGGCTGTGCATTCAAACCCGACATACTTAAATTTTTTTTCAAAAGCACTGGCACACCGAAAATTCATATAACCTTGTAATTGAAATTGAAAATATCCTTGGGGGACAAAAAATTAATCCAACAGTGTAAAATGTGGAGTTCCTCAGGAAGTGTGCCAAGGACCCTTTTTATATTTGGTTTAAGCTTGCAACTTTACAGAATCTAATGTATCTTAGCTTTTCTATTTTTTCCCCAATTGGTGTAGTAACCCTTTAGCACTTAAATTTTCATCTATTGCCGATCTCTTCTAGTGGGTTTTCCTGGAAGATTTTCTTCTTTTTTTATATAAAGTGGAAAATTCTTTTCAGAGGTAGAGTATCAAGTTCTGCTTGGCTAAAGAATGGTTTTGCCAAGTACTATAGTCTTTTTCTAGCTATTTGGGACATTGCATGAAATATGTTCTGGTGTTTCTTCTAGACATAATCGACATCAGTTGAAAGTCCCATTTTTTAAAGTAGTTCTTTACTAAAGCATGTCCTGTCATGTAAATTAATTAAGAGTTTTTGATTCTGTTAAGTAGGATTTCTTCTTTCTTGTGTTATTTTCATGAGTAGTTTTTTTGCTTGCATTTCGCTCTTTAAATGAGATTAGTATTTGTTTACTTTAGTACCCAATATTTCAGCCTTATGTGGCTATAGTTCATGCTGGAAAATGTATTTGATCTTATGAGTTGTTCTGTTCTAAAAAAATAAATTTAAAACATATTTGTTTGCATATTTTTTTACTGAAGAATTAATGCAAAAATCCATTCAATTCTGAAAATCTGTTGACAACTACACTAAATCACCAAACATAAAACTTTTAAGGTGCAACAATGTCCTGAGAATGGCCTTATAAAGGCCGAAAGCTTGGCAAGTGATTGCTGGTTTTATTTTGGTCATAAGCCTGATGGACATCTTACTCTATATACCAATAATTCCAATAATAAGTCGGTAATTCCACATAATCATCATTGTATAAGAGGCTTAAAGCCTTTATGGAAATAAATAATTGTGTGTCACTTAGATGCCTGTGGGGGTGCACATGCACTATATGGCTATAGGACAAAGAGGTGTCTAGAATTAACACCAAAAAAATCATTTAAATTGGTGTGTTTTTGTATTCGTTCTAGTGAGTTTAAAAGGAAGAATTGAGTGATTTGCGATTTTTGGAGTATTGGCAAACTGCGTAACGACGAATTGCGTTCACGGTTCACGTTTGACATGGTCATCAGCAGAGAGCAGTATTGGACGGGGTGCTCTACCGTAAACCTTGCTGCTGATCAGGTGCCTTATCTTGAAAGTCGAATGTAAACAAAATGACCGAGCCGTCGTCTCCTGGGACCAAGTTATCATTCAAATCTGATGGGTTGACGTAGAAATTGTCCCTGGAGCCGCTGGAGAATTTTCCAGGACGAAATGGATGTCATGACACCTGATGACGACGAGTTCAACGAACGGCTGCTCCACCAGGTAAGTCGTCATGATGACTGACTACATAAACAATTGACATTTTACTGAATTTAGTTTGCTAAACAACATAAAAAAGCATAGTATGGTAAGATTGTCATGATGATCATTAACAATGACAATAGCTTAATTGTTGAAATATTCCATTAACAGATATATAAATAATATAATAATATATATAAAAATTTATTTATGTGATTATATTTTAAAAATTAATGTGTCATCAATATTTGTAATATCAATCATAGTTTAATAATTAATATAATTCTTATTTTAGCATAGTGATAGTCTGTTATTACATTATTAAAAGTTGTTTGATCTTGGCCGACAAACAAACCCAAAAAGCAGAATTATCCAACAACGTAGCAGTTATAAACAGCAACCCTTCGTCAAGTATGAGAACATAGAAGTCGAGTAAATCTGTGATGTTGAAACAGTACGATACTCAAACTAGTCACCTGGTCGAGATTTTGCTCAAAGCAGCGCAGCCCCCTACAAAAAGCTCAATTTAGACATTGATTACTTCTGGGCAGATCCACTCCTCTCTCAAAGAAGTCGTACAAAATTGACTTGCCAATCAAAAAAGCTGCAACAAGATGACACAAAGTCATAAAGACACTAAAGTAGTACAGCCTGCCTGATGAGGCATATTGTAACTTCAATCAATTTTACAAAATCACGGTGTGTTGTAGATGTGGGTCAATATTTTAAAAGCTGTACCAAATTCAGTTATGTGGTTGTTGAAATTCCCTGCTTTGTGGGAATCACACGTTCAAGCAGTGACATCTTTGCTCAACCTCCCACTATGTAAAATGATGTTAGATGGGGTCAGCTAGCTTATATCTGCCTCGATACCCCTCTTTGCAATAGTCATTCAACCATGGCCTGTGGACCGGAACACCTGTTGTAACTGTACCAGGGGAAACACTCGCCTCGAGAGTAGTAGTGCAGGAGTACCCATAAATCACAATCAGGCTCTGTACTGATTGAGAATACTTGAAAACGATGCATGCCAATGTTTGACATGCACAAACTGACATTCTCTCAGTCCTGATCTGAGGGACGCCCAGCCATCGTAGAGAAGGTTGATTCCATAATTGATCTCACAGTCACATTCAATTCAAAATGCTTTTCCATGACAAACATGCTTTTTATAATCTTGGCTTTATCAGGCATTGATGGTTGACTTCACTAATGTATAGATAATAAGAATTTTGTACCAATCTCTTGTAAGGTCGCATCAGGAGAGTAATTTATTATTGTATCTGAGTAGCAGGGCATGGAAGCATTGAGATTAAAATCAGTACAGAAATGGGCTGTCAACTATTTGTACATAAACTCTGGTAGTGATTGGCAAAAGACCTACCTACGAGGAAAGGCGACATCTTGTTGAGCAGCAGTGACAACTCCAGACATGTTATACACACCGTAAACTGCTGATAAAAAATTTTGAATAACACTATATTATCTCCAGAATTATTAGATCCAACTATATTTCGACATACTCAGATTCCTTCAGCTTATAAGCTGGATGACTTCATAAAAGTCCAAATGTCCAAAAAGTCCAAAAGCCGAATACTGAAATTGAAATTTTTTTTAATTTACCATTTTATCCAGTGAAATATAAATAGGAAAAGTATTGTTAAAATAATTAGAGCAATATTTTGAGCCAATTTGGTTTATAATTATTATGGGGTTTATATGAAATTTTCAACTTGTGAGTAGTTAAAAAACTGAACTTGACACTTATCACATTGACTTCTAAAATTATATTTTTGATGTAAAGTGTACAAGTTCTGAATTCATAATAATGTTATTATTTGCATCCACTTGCAAAGGAGGCTGCAACATCAGGTCCAACCCTTGACATTAAAATTCCTAAAGATGATGGGAAAAACTTTTTGGAAAAGTTTTGTAGAAATCTGTGGCAAGAAAAATACAACGCATCAAATGTTAGCAATTATTACAGGTCACTGTTCCCTGAGCTCAAGAAAAAACCATGGTTTTTGGAAGGCGATAGCCCAGAAGGAATGTCAAAGGAGTTCTATTCTACTATTTTTAGACTGAAGACAAATCATGGCCTATGGGGTAGCTACAAGAAGAGAATCGGTTTGGCATCGTCTCCGAACTGTCCCACTTGCGATTGCCCTTCAAATCCTTCCCACATAATTTTTGAATGTCCAGAATATGAAAATGAAAGAGACAAACTGCTAAAAAATCTGAGCAAAGTCCCAAACATTTCCAAACCAATAAACTTAGAATCTGTCCTAATAAGCAACAATCCATCAGCTTTCAACATAATCTATGGATTTCTAAAGTCGATAAACGTTTCTTTTTGATTATCTTCAACCATGAAAATTTAGAAGATGAGAAGATGATGGAGCTGAATGAGTGGTGCGGGCGCACGGCGTGGACTTGGCCCTGGTCGGCCGATCACGCTCGACAGTAAAATGAAAATAGAAAACTTCATGGGTAATATGCCAGCGTAAACCCCCCCCAAAAAAAAAAGCACTTGTACAAAGTGATTTTTTTTTCTTTGTAGAGGCAACATCTGATACAATAACATTCTATATGTGCCACAATAAGACACACAGAGCTTTTTCATGTTGACCACCAGCTGTATTTTCTTGTCAACTACGTTAAATTCTTAATAATACATCTTTGCTGTCTGACATTTTTTCTGAGTCTGGAAGTTTTCAGGTCTATAATTTTTGAACTACAGAAAATGAATAAATAATAAATAAACTAATATATATATATAATTTTTTATGGCCTTATGAACTTTGCATAATAGCCACGGAATGTTTTAATGTTTTAATAGCCACGGATTATGCGATGCTTGTTTTTTTCTTGAGAGGACTACGAGCCAAGAATCTATCACGCTGACCACTCAGCTACCATGGTCCTCTATTTAAATGTCCAATGATGTATTTTTACTTATGATATAATTAGGTTGATATATCTACTCTAAATTAGGCCCAAATTTGGGCTATAATGTAAAAATAAAAAATAAATGAAAAAAAAAAAGACCACTGGGTTTCTGTTTTCTAGTAATTATGATTCATGGCCTATCTTACTTGGATCAAAACCCAAGCGTATGTCAAGTCAGTCTTGGTATAATACATAATGCTTATGTTGGTATTGACATAATAATTGATGTAAGAGGACCAAGATGACCGAGTGGTTAGAGCAGCATACTTGTCAGACTAGAAGACACCCAACATGTAGGTTATTGGATGTTAAGCCTTCCTGTATGACAGTAATTATTTTTTTATTAATAATTGATTCAGACTGTTCTATTCTGATAAAATAGTATATGAAAATTTTTCATCGAAGCTTTATTTTTTGATAATTTGATATTTTACTATTCTTTTGCAATCTAATAAGTGTAATGTTTTTGCAAAATCATAATAATAGTAGATAATAAATAATCTAACCATCTAAGAAATAGGCAGACAGATTAATCAAAGACAATCAATTACACCTTCTCACAGATTTCAAAAAGTTTTATATTCTTCATATAATATTGTTTTCTATTCTTAGTCAGCATTATGGGACAATGCTGAACTGCTGGAGGACCTTCTTCGCGGGGATCAGCTGAACAACATGAACTCTCAAGATTCTTGGGGCAGGACACCTTTACATGCTGCTGCAACAACTGAAAGTTCTACTTGCCTGAGAGTTTTACTGCAAGCGGGAGGTAAAAAAAAACTTATTTTTAAAAATTTCCAAACTAGTTATTTAATTTTTTTTAAAAATTTAAGCTGACCCAAATATTCCCTGCGGACCGAGGGGTGAAAATAAGGTGAGTGCCTTATTATCAAAGTCGATTTTAAAAAAATTGCGAGCTGTTGGATTTATTAAATCTGTTATTTTAGACTCCACTTCATGTTTGTGCAGAGCATGGATTTGTTAATAACATACAACTACTAGTCCAACATGGTGCTGACCTTATGGCAAAAGAGGCCAATGGATTAACGGCTCTTGATTTAGCCGAGAAATCTGAGCAAATAGAATGCATGAAGATTTTGAAAAAAGCTGCAGGTACTTCAATAAAAGTGTTTACTTATATTTGATCTTGCTTGAAACTTTTTTTTATACAAAAAAAAAATTTCAAAACAAAAAATTAAACTTTACAAAGTGAAAATTGTTAATTACAGCTAATCATAATTTTATAAAAATGGATGAATGAATTGAAAGTTCATTCATAAAATTTCTGTAGTAGGCAAACTTGCTTCAATGAAATGATTGGATTATTAGTATTGATTTGTTATGTAATAAATTGGACTTATTCAAGGTTGGTCTTTGTTAAATCACTTAGTCCACCTGTAATAATGAGTGGCATTTAATTTATTCCAAGCAAGTTCAAATAGAAAAGTGCTCTTGTTATGAGTGACAATAAAAATAACAAAATTATTGATTACGGATGTGATGCATACACTTACTTTACAAATGGAGTACTTTCTGAAGAAGGTAAAAAGTTAATATTGTTTTTATTAATCAACTAAATGATTAATTTCCAGCTCATTCTTATGTTGTGTAAAAACATATAATTATTGGCTGTTGTGAATTTTATTATCTAGAATTAATAAATGCTTAAAAAGGCAAGTCTAAAAATATTAATTAATTGTTTTCGTAGTTAAACATATTTCTAATTTTTGAGAAATAGTATTGACTGTGGCCGCAGTGGTTAAGGTGTTGACATGACGCTCATCATTGTAAGGAAAAGGTCATGGGTTTGAATCCAGCAGCCCTGGATTTGAACCTGACATACAAATGGGATTTTTTTTTTTTTCAAAAACACTGGCACTCTGATGGTTCTAATAACCTCATTGAAAATCTCTCGTAAACAAAAAAGTTAAAAAAAAAAAATGAAGGGGAATAAATGGATTAATGTCACATTCATTTCATGAACAACAAATTTAATTTCTGTAGGCCCTGAATAAGATGGCATATATTTTCAAAAGCTTGGCGTTGGTATAAAAGCACTATTTGTTTTTCTGGCCACAACCCTATTCATGAGAACTCATATTAAACACTGTTCAATCGTGTAGAATATAATAACAAATTTAATACTAAAGATTATTTTCAGTTGCACTATTAATTACAATACTTTTGTGTTGAATATTAAAATTATCAAATAGTAATAATAATAATTGCCTAAATGCGAGGATCTTCTAAAGATCTAGCTTGCCTAAAGATTAGTTGTAAATATCAGGTCATAAAATAAGTCTGTAGCGGTTTTTATGAGAAATTCAATGACAATTTTAGGCACTTGAAAACAAATTTAATCTAAAATGTACAAACCAATTTGTTCGTGAACGCATCAATAGGTTTTCTGAGACCTTAAGCAAAGTTAAGTTTTTCCCAATAATAGTCTGGAATAAGTGAAATTCTGAAGGGGTAATGCCAGGTGAATATGATGGGTAGTTCTCCAACGATTTCTGGCAAGAATGGAAAGATACTTGGGGTGATTATCTAGGTTGAAAACAATCTCCTTGTAACTGGCCTAATTTGGTTGTTTTTGGTTAATTGCGTATTTTAATCTCTCCAATTCTGTAGTTAAATTTTGCCAATTAATGGTTTGTTAATTGGCTAAAGTTCATAATAAAAAAGCACAACATTCCAGTCCATTAAATGTAATCCAACTTTTGGAGTTGTTGAAGGTGTGTTGCTGTTTTTTCCCCATTGAACAGTGTTGTAAAGCATCCACTTCATCCTCAATATCAATCTTTTGAAATGGATGATGAATCAATACATCACATTTTAGAAGGGAGATATTGCCAAATAAATTATTTTCAGTCAACGTGTGAGGAACTCATCACTCTGACAAACCCAGCTGACAAACAAAACTGCTCACAGGTTGAAGAGCTTGTATGAGTGTGTGAAGACCTTGATGGGTCCTCAGTGGCTGAGTGATTAGGGTGTATGACTCGTATTTGCCACATTAACAGTTGATGGTTCTAATCACGGGAGTGTCTATGGGTTTTAATTGATTATAGTATGAAAAATTTATTATAAAATTGATTTGACCCTTCATCTGGGACAACCAATGGGCGGTTGGACATTAAGCCCTTTTGTAGGACAGGACTGTGATATCTTGGTCATTTAGGACAAAAGTTTGAATTTGGACGACCAGAGCTCTTCGCGTCTTCCAAATCAAAATTTCCACTTTTAAGCCAAGCAAACCTCTTATGGACGGTGCTTTCTCTTAAAACATCTTCACCGTACACATCACAAATTTTCCTAGCAGTTCGCTACACTTTTCCTTAATAAAAAAACATTAAATGCAATATTGTTTCCTCCATTTTAAATTAGCCCATATCTTGTAAAAATATGAGATTTTGAATGAAACTCAAATAAAAACCTCTTAACTAATCCATTTTCAGTGTGTAAACAATAATGGGTAAATAAACTTGCTTCAAAATACAAGAGAGATAAAATCGACTTATTGAAAAACACTACAGACTAATTTTACAAACCAATACTTAATGGTAAGTTAATTATTTGGTTGGTTTGTAGAAGCAAAAGAGACTCTTAGACAGACAACCCATGCTGCGTTAAGAGAAGCATGTATTGCTGGTGATGCCGGATTGGTCCGGAATTTAATCAACGAGCTGGGCGGTGATGTTTCGACTGTTCTCAATATTCAGCCAAATGGACTTAACACTCTTCTGTTCATGTATGAAGTTGTTTAAAAATAAATTATGTGCTTGGTCGTAATAACAATAGCATTACAGAGCTTGTGAGTTGGGCAAGAAAGACATAGTAAAAATTCTTTTGGATTATGGAGCCGATGGTAGAATACATCAAATCACCAAACACTCCCCCTTGCATATTGCAACAGTCAAAGGGAAAAAAGATATTGTCGAGCTGCTTTTAAAGGTTTACACTTATTTTATGTTACTATTTGGTAATAATTTGTATATATGTTGGTTTTTGTCCAATTAGAGATTCCCTGAACTTGTTCAACAATGCACTGTGGAAAAGTGGCTACCGTTGCACGCAGCTTGTATCAATGGCCATATAAACATTATGGAGGCTCTATTGAAGTTTTCATATCCACAAAATATCATGACAACTTTTAAGTAAATTCAAAATAAATTATTTGCCCTAATTTACAATTTGCTTTAATGATTTATTCTGTAGACAAGGAGACTGGGAATATGAATTGCCGTTTGATGTGAATTTTAAAGATGTCACCGGCCAAACTCCTATTTACCTTGCTTGTTTGCTAGGCAATGTTAAAATGGTCGAAACGATGCTAAGGTTCAAAGTTAAAAGTACAAGAATTAAGGTATGTTGTTTTCTTTAAATTCCTACCTCAAAATTTAAGAAAGGAACCACGTAATAGTCTACAAAAATTCAATGTACCTTGTACCACTAGGTTGAAGACGAAAAAGAAAAAGAAGAGAAGAGTTTTGGAACAAGGAGGAGAATCGCAGACGGAATCCAAGTTTTAATGACAAGGCTGAGTCTAGGTTCTAGGAACGAGACCAACGAAAGAATGCTCAGCCCTTGGCACCTTGATTTACTGTGTAACACCGAGCAAGAGACAGCACTGCACGTTGCTGTTCGAAACATGAATGTTGAAATTACTTCTCTGTTACTTTCTTCAGGAGCTAATCCCAACTTAATATCTCAAAATGTATTTATTTATTTATAATTTTATATTAAAAATGTCATTAATTATTCAATTTTGTTTTAAGGATTGCGTGTGTTTGGTAGAAGCATGTAAATCTAGAAACATCGCCTTAGTTGATTTACTACTGAGATATAATGCGCATGATCATGAGTCAAAAGCATTGTCTGTCGCTATTCAGAATAAGGATGATCTTTTAACTGCTAAACTACTAGCAATAAGGGTAAAAGCAAGGTTAGTGAAATAAAAGTTTTTAAGGTTAACCAATTTTTTTAAAGGCCCACAGTGACCCTGAATATTTGATAAACAAGCGTGCTATGAGTGAAGCTGTTACCAAAGGCTTGACTTTTACTTCACTATTGGCAAATACTCCTGTTATGATCAATTGGCATGGCGGTTCTGCCCAAGTACCTTATATCCGTTACCAATGGCTGGTATGTAGTGACTAATTTAATTATGATGATGATGATTTTACCACAGCTTGTTTTATAAACAGGTCAGCGCTGCTCTCCACGTAAATCCAAAATTGAAGTTAAATCCAAAAAGTCAAGACATCGTTTTATACGCGATTACGAGATTGGACGTTTCGAATAATTCTTTAGTCTGGATTCCACCGGTAGTTTTTCAACTTCAGAGTTTAAAGTGAGCTTTGAAATACGAAAATTTTGGTACTATTTTTAAAAGAGATCATTTACAGAGTATTAAACATTGCACAAAATAAAATCGAGAGGTTGCCGACTTCAGAAGATTTTGATGATACGACAAAGTCTAAATTGCATTCATCCAACAAAGGCTACTCTGCACCTGTTCTTGAAGAACTTTATTTACAAGTCAGTATTATTACTATTATTGCAGTAGTATCATTTAAAACAAATTAACTAGATCATAAAAATAATATAAATTATGTGAGAGTTTAATAATTGGCGATTAAAAGTCAAGTAATTCCTGCCACACAGGAAGATTTAACATCCAACAATCATTGGGTATATGGATGAGAGGTCAAACCACTTTACAATAACTTTTTTATTCTATTCACAATATTATAATTGCATGAGCTATGCTGGGAATCGAATCTAGAACTATTAGCATAACAAATTTTAAGTTTGACACTTTAACCAGTTGGTCACCATGAAATAATGGCCATAAAAATATTGAAAGAAATTTTTTATACTAAAGAAATTAAGAAAATTTTTGCTCAACATTTTGTTGGATAATTTTTCATATAGTTTATAAAAACTTCTTAAGCTTTTTCAATGTTTTATTTACTAAAAAATAAAATGGAAAATCTTAAGATTTTATAATCCAAAGTTAAGAAAGTATAAGTAGCTAAGGTATTGTTAAAATGGCTGGTCAATCCATATGAATGCCCTTTGTTAACGTAGGTGCATCTATCAAAGTTGAACAAAGCACTTTTGTACCTGGAAAAGAAATTAAAACAATTATTGAGGTAGATTGTTACATTACACAAATATTTAGACAAAAAATAACTTTAGGGTGAAAAGGTGCTATTAGTTTAAAAAAAAGGTAAAATTAATACAGTATTATTTTAATGAACAGGATAATAGGTTGGATTTCCTGCCTGGTGAAATTTTTTCTCTCCCTTCACTGGCAATATTAGATTGTTCAAACAACAAGTTATCAAACTTGCCTCATCAGATGTGGAAATCGCCCAAATTGAGGGAACTCAACGCTGCGTTCAATTTACTTAAAGAGCTACCTTCACTTCAGCTTGAAGTAAATATTATACATTTTATTGATTATTTGTTATTAATCGTTTTCTTTTTAAGGATATGAGTGAGAGTGCAAGCATTTGTTCTTTTGAATCTTCGAAAAGTGCCGATACCGATCTGAGCACGCCAATGGATATGCCATTCGCTCTTAACTATCCTGATCAGGATCTATATTTACAGTAAGGATAATTTTAAAGATAAATTCAGTACCTTATTGAAAAAAATGGATATTTTTAGGCAATACGAGCTTCAACACAATAATCTGTGGAGTAAAAATGTTGAAGTAACTGAGCACTGTGTTACTAACGATGAAGAAGCAGATTCCCAGTACTGTCAAATTCAGACTTTGAATTTGGCACACAATCAGTTTGCATCTGTTCCTCCTATTTTGGCTTGTCTTGCTGTTAATTTGACAAGACTTAATTTATCATATAATCGGTAACTTGTTTGTTTTTAGTTGTGTAAACAATAATAATAATGTTTTTGTTTTTTTTTAGGCTTCGCACTATGAGTCATATAACATCATATCCTTCTACAATTAAGCAATTGGAACTCAGTGGTAATCAGATTTGCTGTTGGATGTCTCTTCCGCAAATTGACTGTTTGGATCCAATGGAACAAGCTGTCATTACGTGTTACGCACCAAATCAGACTAATAAACCAAACAAGATGGTCACAGGTATGGTACATATTTTGACCAAATGTTTAATTTTTAAACATTTGTATAAATTACAGGCAGACCGCGTTCATTTCGTAGCACGATATTAAATTGTGTCTGCAGTCATAGAAGGCATCTGAGGCTGGACAACCTCCGTACTCTTATTTTAGCAGATAACGCCATCCAAAGGATCCAACTAACTACAGATGATGACGGGTTATCTTCAACTGACAGCGAAGATCACGATTCTGAATGGGTATTTTATCATTTATTTTCTCGCTGATTTTACCATTTTAACATTTTCACGTTTAATTCAAGGATCTCCTTGGATCTGCGACTAGTTCAAAATCAAAATTGATGTTCCCAGCTTTGAGCATGTTAGACTTAAGTAACAACAATTTGAAAGAAATACCTCCAATTATCCATGAACTGGGAAGTTTGTCTGTTTTAAATGTTAGCGGCAATGCTGGTAAGTTTGAAAATCAATTTGGCAAAATTTCTTTTGCTGATTTTTTTTTTTTTTAATTTTCTAGAAATAAATGACTTACCACCACAAATGGGTTTACTCTCGAGGCTGTGGAATTTAAACGTTAAAGGATGTAATCTACAAGAGCCTTTGAAATCTATGATCGACAGTAAAAAGTACAAGACAATGGACATAATTGGCTACCTCAAGAGTGTTTTGGAAGATGCTAAGCCTTATGCTCGGATGAAATTAATGATAGTTGGAGTACAAGGGATTGGAAAAACGTCACTTTTGGAACAACTGAGAAGCGAGGGTCACAAGAAAAAACCAGTGGAGGTACATTTTGTTTAAACATAAATCAATATTATTCCTCTATTATCTTATATTTTAAATTTTATTCAGCATTGGGCTAAACGCATGGGAAATAAAAGTATAAACATAAAAAACAGTAAAGGTACTAATTTGTCAACCGTTGGTGTGGATATCGGTGATTGGACTTATGAGAAAAAAATCCGAGGACAGTCTTCTTATGGGCCTGTAACATTTAGGTAATGGTGATCATTATGATTGACTTGAAACAATAAAAAAATTTAATATTTTATTTTTAGAACGTGGGATTTTGGAGGACAACGCGAATATTATGCAACACATCAATATTTCCTATCCAAAAGAAGCTTGTATCTAGTCGTTTGGAAAATTCCTGATGGACAGAAAGGAATTTCTGAAATTTTACAATGGCTGGTTAACATACAGGTATATAACAAAATTAATAGTTGGTGTGGTTTGATAATTTTATCTTGATTGATCGAGCTGCTTTTTGCTATACTTTAGTTATATGTGTTTCAGCAAATCGCCATCTTTAGTGGGTGTCCACTTTTTTTTCTCTATTCTGGAATTTATATTTAAAAACGCAGGTTAAAAAAATACAGACTTTTCCTAAACATGGTGAAAAGTCTAAACACTACTGTCTAAATCTTGTATAATAAATAGTTTGTCAGGGTGATTAGGGAATTAATTTTTTTCACAACTAATCTTATGTTTTTATTGAACACCTATCTGTTCCTATTAGGCTAGAGCTCCCAATTCACCAGTTCTCATAGTTGGTACGCATTACGACATGATGCAGGAAAATTACCCACTATCTAGGGCAGAAGATCTACAGCAATTGATAAGAGACAGGTGAACAAAGTGCCTTGTTTATAATTAATGTTCATCTAATCTAAATTTCCAAAGGTTCATAAACGTTGTCGACGCTGAGAAATGTGGCCTTCCGAGAGTGATAGACACAATTGAAGTCAGCTGTAAAACAAGACATAATATAAGGATCTTGTGCAATCTGATTTACGATACTGTCTTCAGTCTACGTACAGCAGGTTTAAAACAAAAATAAATCCCTGTAATTCGAGATTTAAAAAAAAAATTATTTACAGGCAGTAAAACTCTTCTGCTTCAACAATGTGTGCCTGCGAGTTATTTGATTCTTGAGGACGTGATTGCACAGATTGTCTCCGAAAGAAGGCAGATGAAGCAAGATCCAGTGCTCACGAGTGAGCAGTACAGAAGTATAGTCGCAAGTTACCATACCAACCTTAGAGACACTTCGGAACTACATCAAGCAACTTTATTTTTACATGAAAATGGTAAAAAAATCCAAATTTTGATTTATTACATTGTATAATAAAAATGTATAAATTTATAAATTAACAAACAATTTAAAATTTATACCTTCTCTTTCATAATGGTTTATTTCTTCCTAGTTCATTTTTGTTGGTTTTGTTTGTCAGATTACTTTCATCCAGATAAAATGTCAAAATAACACCCCGATGACCAAACACTAAAAATGTTCAAATGTTGAAACTTGACTAATATATCAGACCAGGATGATCAAAGATAATAAAATTATGAGTACAAAAATTATAACTTCTTTTTAGAAGTGAATAACTGCTAATGTTTTACTTTATATCAATTTTTTATGTAGAGGTTATCTGAAAATTGCTAATATGCAAATTTTGTAGGTGTTTTACTGCACTACGAAGACTCAACATTAAAAGATTTATACTTTCTTGATCCTCAATGGCTTTGTGATATGCTTGCCCACGTGGTCACTATACGTGAAATAAATCCTTTTGCAAGAAACGGTAAGATTTGATTTGATTTCTTCTTAAAGTGAAATTAAATTGTTTTTAATATTAGGTGTAATGAGACTGGACGACTTAAAACATGTATTCAAGTCTTCCAATCTTGGCGATGTCGATACAAAAGGCTACATTGTACATTTACTCAATAAATTCGAGGTCGCTCTTACTTGGGACAACAGAACACTTCTTATTCCAAGCCTGTTGCCTACTGAGGATGACATTTACACTCCCTCAGTTAGAGTAAAAGTAACTAATCTTCCTCGGTATTTGACAAGTGTGTATATTAATTGTTCTTTGTTAAAACAAGATCCCTGTGAGATCGAGGGCATGGGCAGTAAGAAACAAAAAAGCAAACTTAAATACCTACGCAAATTTAAACAATTCTGAAGAATCTCAACGAGGTAACACCAGGGCTTTGATGAAATATCATATTTAAGAAATATGTGTAATAAATGATTTTTCAGAGAATGAGCTTACATCCCGTAACGATCCAGATGTAGCAATAAGAAGACTGCTTCTTTTATCGTATGTTCCTTCTGGGTTTTGGTCAAGAATTATTACACGTCTCCTTGCTGATGATATAATAATACAAATTGTACGAGAATTTTTTGTTGTCCCAAAAGAGGTATGCTTTTTTTTCTTTTTTTACAACTTTAAAAGCTTAAAGAAGGACATAACTGATCAAATAGCTCACAGACTTACCACTGAAGATTGTAAAGTGGGAACAACATTTATGCTGTCCTGATGCAACAGCATCAAGTACAGTCAAGACAAAGAACCAGACACTCATATTTTTATTTCAAACTATATGTATTATTATCATTATATTAATTACAACATACTTATTTTGATATACACCAAATTAATCGAGATCAAAAATTCATTAGTTATTATTTAAAAAAAAATTAATTTTAATGGTTTGGCAGAAAATTTATCAAAACACCGGAATGTCATTTATTGATAGAATGAATTTAACGAACAATTTATTACAGTTTTGCTCATAAAATTGAACTAACAATTTATTACACGGTTTTGCTCATAAAATTGAACTAACAATTTATTTCATTGTTTTGCTCATAAAATTGAACTAACAATTTATTTATTTACTTATTTATGGATCGAAATCCACTATAAAAAAAGACATTTTACAATAACAAAAAATATAAATAATATATGTAAAAATACAAATAATATATATAAAAAGAATAAGGACGTATATACATATAAATATAAATGATAAATATAAAAATACAATTAAAGAGTAAAAATTGAACAACAAAAATGAAAGACATAATTACTAACCAAATAAGGCAGAGGAAACAAAATAAAGCTGAAAGACAATTGAAACTACAATAATTAGGTACATATTTAATGAAAATAATGCTCTTTGTAAATATATAATAAGACTAGAGTGCGAGAATTAGTTGAACCAGTAAATTGTAATAATTTTGTACAGTATGAAATATAAAAGCATTCAACTAAGGTTGTAGGATATGGTTTTTCACAGATTGCACAGAACTATTGAAGAAGTCAATGCTATTGCAGATGTTGTTACTCTTGATAATCATTCTGTGTAGAGGAGAAGAGAGCATGTAGTTAGAGCTTTGGAATTCAATATAAAATAATTTATAGGTTTTAAGAGAGTGCGAAGGGACATGTAGCTGCAGTTGAGAGAGGAGAGGACTATCAATGAGATTGTTTAATAATTTAAATACAAAAACAATATCAAAGTAATCCCTTCTTAGTGCCAGTTCGAAAAGTTTAAATTCAGAGCGGATTCCAGGGTAGGAAGAATTCAGAGGAAGATTGAGTTTGTAGGAAAGTTTTTTTAAAAATTTGTTTTGTACAGATTGAAGATTTTTTTGATAATTTAGATAGAATGGGTTCCAAACAGGTGTAGCATATTCTAGTATGGGTTGTACAAAAGCTTTATAAAGATGGACAAAACATAGAGGTTTTTTAAATTCATAGGTGTTCCGGATGATGAAACCTAGCATCTTCATAGATCTATTTTTTATTGAAGAAATATGTTCTTTAAACTTGAGCTTTTGATCAAAAAGTACACCAAGTATTTGTTACATGGTTTTGCTCAAAAAATTACACCATTTTCATCGAGTAACGTCAGAACCGGACACTCATTTTTTGTAGTTTATTTCAAACTATGTATTTGTAATTTTGTCGTTATTTTAATTACAACATATTTATTTAAGTGTAAACCAAATTAAATTAGATCAAAAATTCACGAGTTTTTATAAAAATTATTTAATTATGATGATTAGGTAGAAATCCCGCTTGTGACACTGCCTTTTTTTATCTCAACCAAAACTTTAATTAATTGAAAAGAATTTATTTGGTCAAGCAGACCATGAAACCTAATAAAATATAAAATTAGGCAGAAAATTTATCAAAACACAGGAACAACTTTTTTTAAAAGAATCAAATTTAATTAAAAATTTATTACACTTGCTCATAAAATGTATCTAACATTTTATTACAATATTTTGCTCAAAATAATGTATTAAGAGCAAAAGAGGCATTGCAATTGTGATACACGCTGTGTGACTGTACATGGCGTGCGCTTGACGTCGAACAGATGTGCACACCCTCTCAAAACGGTGTCAGGTCACGTCGCGTTGTGTCGAGTAAGTGTGTTCCCTGCTTTAAGTGTGTCGGTCTCAAGATGCAATCTTACAATAGGTTCTGGCAAATTGTTAAACCTTTTTTTTTTAAATTATTCTAATCTATCCAGAGACTAAAGCATAAAATTCTGTCAAGCCAAGAGCAATGTTTATATATAGGCTGTATGCATACTTCCATAGTGTTGTTCCAGCATCAACTGATTCGAAGTTCCTATCTGACATCAAAACATCAGAATAGACATATGTGTCCAGTCTTAAACAAGACCAATTTTAATACTGACGAACATGTTGATAATGAAAAAAAAAATCTTGATTAAAATCTCCTGTCTAACACACTTATGTTTTGTTTGTTTTACCTTTGTCTTTATTTGTAGGTATCACAAGATGTAAGATTAGCCAAACTTTTAGACGTACGAGCAGAATGGTCTCTATGGCAGACTGGCATGGAGTTAAGATACGCTCACACGGTACTTTTTTCAATGAAAGAAATTATTCATACCAACAACAACCCAATTGATTATCAAAGCTTAAGGTAAAAAGTTTTGAATATTTGTTTCAATGTTTTTTTTAAACAATTATATATTTTTTTAAAGGTTGCAATTAAAACAAGAAGGGTCTTGGACAGATGTTAATTTCCAAAATGTCTCATTATTAGAGCTGTACCTTCCTTTGGACACTTTAGTTATTAAACAACCTGTTATGGAACAAGGTTCTGACTCTGTTATTGGATATCAAGCAATCGTTCTTGAGCCTTCACCTCAAAAAGCAGCACATTTGCTCGCCCTTGCAACAGATCATATTGATATCTTGCTAGAAGATTGGTACCCAACTTTAGGTAACTTCGTGTTTAAAATTTGAACATTTGCTTATTACTTTATTTAATTCGTACATATTTTGTTTAATATTAATATTAGGAACTCGTTTTGTACATACGTCTGAAGGAAAACTTCTAGTAACAAGAATCGTACCGTGCCCTACGTGTATTTCTAATGTCGGGCAGAATAACTTAGATAATCAAAAGGTAAACTAAATTAGGTAAATAATCTGTTCAAAATAATTTCTATATGATTATTTCAGCATGCGAACAGTCCAGAAGAAGGAATAGTTATTAGAGTTTCCAATGAAAGTTCTGACCGTGACAGTGGAGTTGCTGATAGTCCTTCTTCAAGGTAAAAACAAAGTTTAAAAGTTTTTTTTAAATTTTAAATTATTAACAACAATTAAACAAATACAGCCGAGTAGCATCAGAAGAAGGATTAACTATACCGACCCCGATGAAAAACTTTCAATATAGTTGGATGGTTGAAGAATGCATATTAGCGGCGATTGAAAAAAAGAATATTCGCTGTCCTGTACATGGTGAAATTTCCCTAGCACACGTGGCACCAGATACTGTAATATTCTTAATACCATAATGTTTATTAGGTGTATTTATAGTTTTATTTGCTTTTTCAGTTGTTCTTGGATGTTGGAGAGGCAAACTTGATAAACAGCAGTACGGTTAGTCGGGGTAAACTTCTCGGAAGAGGAGCATTTGGTTTTGTTTTCCAGGGTACATGTATGTTGAAAACAACTGGTACAAAATTATCAGTTGCGATTAAAGCGATCCAGCCTGTCCCACCACCTTCAGGCGCATCTAATTCTGCTGTGATAGCTTATAAGGTGATTTAAGATTCAGCCAGATTTTATTCTTGTTTTCTTCATTTTGGTTATCCTTAGTTTTCTTTTTATGGATAAAAAATTTATTTTTACTTTTTGCTTTTAGGCCTTTGTGTTGAAGGTGGTTGGTTCTACATAAAGTGGTTGAAGTAGTGAGGTTAAAGGTTAAATGTATTTCAGAAAAATGCCATTTTCATGTAATTGCTGAAGTTTCGACCTTTATTCGGGTCATCTTCAAGGCATAAAGTGTAATGATATTCCTGTAGTGTCATGTTTGTTGAGTTTATTTTCCTGACACTACAGTATTGATAAGTATTCCTGACCCTACAGGAATAACACTTCAGTGGATGCAACAGTTTAGGCGTTGACACAGCGCTTATCACTGTAAAGGTCAAGGTTCAAATCCAGCGGCCCTGCAATCTAACCTGACATACATATAAATGGGCTTTTTTTTCCAAAAACACTGGCACCCTGGGAGTTGATATGACCTCTGCAGTTGTGAACCCTTGGGGGGGGGAAAGCTGAATGAAAAAGGTGTTTTTCTGAAATGCATTTAACCTGACTACTTCAACCACTTATTGAACCACGGTTCTAATTATAAAGTTACGGTTTTTTTACATTTTGGCATTGTTTTAAACTTTTGTTTATAATAGTAAAAAAGGCTAATAATGGTGTCATATAAAAAAATTAATTTATAACGGTTTGCGTAAAATAGTTAAAAAAAAAAAAAATCAATCAAAAGGATGGGGTATTTTAAAGAAACAGAGAAAAATGGGCCTTTCTGACAATATACAAATATCATTCAAGGATCCAGGATTTTCAGAGTGGCTTTTTCTTCGAACAGTTAAAAAATAGCATCTGAACAAAAACACTTATAATTTGATAAAAACTATTTTCAACTTGCAGGCACATGCACATCAAAATGATAAAAAAATACAATGATAGAATAAAAAAATGTCTTATTAGTCAACAAAACACTCAAAAAAAGTGCAGAGTCAAAAATAAACATATAAATGCAAAAGATAGCAAGGCTCATTCCAGACGGAAGGCAAAACGAGAAGGTCGGATTTTAAAACTCTCCACCGACATATCGTTCTCCTTCTCCAATGCGCACTGCCACTAAAATTTAAATTTTAAACATTAGATTGTAACTATTTAAATTTTTTTAAATGTTTATATAATTTTAAAAAGAAAAATAGTTTCCTGAGAATGGCTCAGGATACTGAAATCTCAGAAGACTGTAATTTCGCTTAGAACCTATCAATGAAAAGGCCTACAAAATAAAAATGAAAGTTTTTACAATTTTTTTTTTTTAATTTAGAATGCACAAGTAAAATGGGAACGAGACCCAATCCAGCATGCAAGCAAGGCTTATTCCACAGCAAGGCAGGAATTGGGGATTCTACTAACTGTCAGACATCCTAATATTGTTCCATTGATTGGGATTTGCCTGGACCCTCTTTGTTTAATACTGGGTATATTTTTTATATTTATTATCCAAAATAAAATTTAATATAAAAAACAAATTAATTTAGGGTTAGCACCACAAGGCGCACTACACACTAGTTTACGCAGTTTTCGACGTTGTGCTGCTACATTACATCCAATAACTGTTCAAGGAATAATTTTACAAGTATGTCTCAGTCATTATTCAGAGTATTAAAAATATGAAAATAAATGTTGATGATTCATTTAGTTTGTAAATTTAATTATTCTGTGTTTATTTGTTTTTTTCCAGGTTGCCAAAGCATTAGAATATCTACATCAACAGCATATCATTTATAGAGATCTTAAGTCTGAAAATGTTTTAGTCTGGGCACTTCCTGCCCCATTTCAAGACCACTCAGAAGTTCCTGCTCATATAAAACTAGCTGATTACGGTAATTCCTCACCCATTTTTAAATAATACGTTTATATGTTAATAAGTTTATGATAGTTGATAAATATTTTTATTATTATTTTTTCATTGTTGTTGTTTTTTTCTCTTTTTATATTTGAAAATTTTCTTTTATTTTTAGACCTTGTTGTTAGGTGGTTTGTAGTGGATTTTTCAACATTTGGTAATGTGTGCCATTTAAAAAAAAATTGTAAAAGATTTTTTTAAATAAGATTTACATTATTTATTCTATTAATAAACATATTTATACATATGTTAATAATAATATAATTCAAGGAAATATTAATAATAGTTATTTCTAGTTATTAATAGAAAACTCTATATAAATCCTTAAAAAAAGTCCTAAAACATAAAAGAAAATTTTCAAATATAAATGTTATTTTGATTCAATTTATTTAAACATCACATTAATTTGAAGTTTTATTGTTTTACGGACCTCCTTCTGTCTATGAAAAATAATGTAAAAGAACAATGGGAAAATTGCTGGCAATCAAATTATAATGGTTAAAACCTGGCATTGATCCCGAGTCCACTGAGGTCAGGTCATGAAGGGAAAGGGCTGTACTTACCAGGTTACACATAGGCCAAACTAGGCTTACACATCTTACACATGGGCACTTGCTGGTCAAGAGGTACCAAAAGATTGAATTCTAGAAGCCTGCAAGGATGAGCTATGGCGTCTCTGATAATCTATGCGTCGCCAACATGGCATCAGGCCGGATCAATGTTTCAGTATTTCTATAAGAGTTTTTAAATTTATGTAGTTTATGTGTTACGGGCTGGTGTATATGTAAATTATTAGTGTGAATGAGGGGATTATCCCATACCCTGAGGAATATGGAGTAATCTGGGGAGACAGTGTGTTGTCTGGAGAGTGAATTTATTAGCGTGAATGGAGGGTATAAACCAGCCCCGAGAAATATGGAGTACTCTGGGGTAGTGAATAGTAACCATACTTGTGTTGTGACAAGTTGTTGGCAGCGTTAAAATATTCAGTGCCACGATGCCAGATGTGAGCTTCCGGCTTTCTCGCTGGGAGACCGTGGTGTGTTTTCAGGGGCGTTATCTGTCAGCTCAACCTCGGGGCATTGCAGGGGGTTTCTCTAAGCACTGTCTAGGTGTTTCAGCCAGGATGCAGGGCTCCCATCGCTAGCGGTGTTTCTAGGGAAGGTGGAAAGCATAAACCTCTTCTTTTTTTTTTCTTCTCTTAATGACAATTTTACAACGTGAGGTACCTTTGAGATGTTAGCAAGCTAAGAAAACTGGAGATAAAATGCAAGAGAGTCAGTGACAAAGATGCGGAAAAAAAATTGTCCTTCGTTGACCCATAAATAATACATACATTATTTTATTTAATTGTTATTGTCTTTCATGTTATTCTTTTCTTTACAAATACAATTGTTAAATTTTCTATTTGGGTCTGCATATGATGAACCTGTAGTTTTATTAATTCTGATCATTTTGGTTTGCCTATTTTTGCCCATTGGTCTGTTATAAGTTGTCAAAAGCTGAAAACACCTCTGACAGACCAAAACTGAGTATAAGCAGGTCAAAATCACTGTAAACGGCCAAACTATAAATACAATTTGTAAATAAATAATTAGTGAACATTAATTAATGATTAATATATATTTTTGTTTGCAATTCATTATTAAAAATGCATGGACTTAAAGCTTTATACTCTATCTGCATTACATTACACACAAATTTATTTATTTTTATTTCGTAAATATTTTTTAAGGCATAAGCAGGTTGACCCTTCCTTCTGGTACCAAAGGATTTGGCGGTACTGAAGGGTTTATGGCACCAGAAATAATGAAATACAATGGCGAAGAAGAGTATACAGAAAAAGTAATATTTATTTTACTGTGTTATGAATATTGTAATAAATTTGTTGTGACTTTTAGGTTGATTGTTTTTCATTTGGTATGTTTATTTATGAGCTTGTTACCCTTCATCAACCATTTGAAAATCACGAATCTGTGAAAGAATGCATACTTGAAGGAGGACGTCCTAATCTTACGCAACGGGTAAGCATGCTTTAATTAAATACATTTTTAGATATAAATATTTGATGTTTATAGGAAACCCACTGGCCAAGTTGTATCTTGGACCTCATGGTGCTTTGTTGGTCACACCAGCCCTGTGACCGCCCCACTGCTTCTCAGATCGTCAGCATATCTTCTGCTCCAGAGTTTACTCACTTGTACGATGTGATCTCTCTAAACCATAGCTCTTCCATTCTGACAACTGCATCAAATCAAATATTTAACAATTCAGGTCGGTTGATTTTTTTCCAATTGAAGCCTGAATCCAACTATAAGCCTGAAATAACTTTTTTAAAAAATGTTTTGAAAACTTTCAGAATACAATTGTCATAGTGTTTGGCTTGGTTGCACCAATTCAAAAATTTACCAGTTATTATCGAGTGATCAAAATTGGCTTCAGTACTCTGAACTTGCACCTCTCTCCGTTCATACACCACGCCGCGGGAATCAGAATGCAATCGCGACCCCGACTGCGCTGTGCATTGTAAAAGATAACATATGGATTGGAGATGACGCCTCTCATATCCATGCATATTCGTAAGATTTTATCTGTAAAGATTTTAAACAGAATTTTAAAAATTTGAATTTTTTTCAAGGGTGCATGAAATGAAACTGGTATGGTGGTATAGCATGGTGGAAGGTGACGACAAGAGCCCGGTTTTACGTCTTCTCTGGTTAGAGCCGTTGGGAAGGGTCGCAGTTGCCCTCAGTTGTGGACGAATATTCCTAGTTACAGACTCATCTCCTAAAATGTCCTGTATGGCCGAAGGAAGCTTTGTTTTGACAGAACTAGGCTCAGCGTCATTACTTCATGACATGACAGCTGTGTTTTCTTTGAATCACAAGTAATTAAATACAAATTTTTTAAATCGGCATATATCCATTCATTTGTTTTTAAGGATTTGTGAATTATGGTGCGGGGAAGGAAATGGGGCGATTTCTGTGTACACACTTGAAGAAAGCGTTGTGACAAACTGTGAAAATTTAAATCATTATGACCCTCTAATAGCAAATGTTGATGTTGTACAGTTGGTTTCATGCTCGGAAGAGCATCAAAAATTTGTCTGGACTTATGTTTATCCAGGTTACATATTTATTTTTATATTAGTCTTAGTTTCTTTTTTTTAATAGTTCTTGTATTAACAATGAAGTAATTTATTTTAGGTTGTGTGGTGTACCAGTGGGATGTTGCAGCTAAAGCAATTTTACATAAACTTGACTGTTCCAAGCTTGTACCATGTTCCGAAAGCTTGAAATCTATTAGTATTGATGAACACTTAAGTCCAGGAAGATGTCAGGTGATTATTATTGAGTTTCATAGTGAATAAAAAAGATTTTTGTATAATCTCAACACCGATTTGTTAATTGTCTAGGTAACAAGTTTGTGTGTCGTCAACAAAGAGTTGTACATTGGTACAACCTGGGGATGCATGGTGGTTGCTGAGACATGGTCATTGCGGCCAATAACTGTATTCAGGCCATACGAAGGAGAACTGAATGCTATCGTAGCACTTCCAGCTAGTAAACCACCGACGATAGCGACATTCGGACGTGGCTATAGATCTCTTATCACCAGGTAATAATTAAAACAATTCATTAGCCCATTCTTTACAGTACTGTTTTGTAAAAACACTTACGAGATACGGGAAAAATTTGATTAATTTTTTTTTCTCCAAAAAATTGTAAAAAATTTCTGAAAGGTCAAATCGAAAAACAGTCTTAATAATTAATCTTTTTAAGGTTTTTGGTTGAAATGAAAAAGTTAGTGCCACTTTCACTTTGACCAAAAACATTACATTGTTTTTTTTTTTGTTTACGCTGGCATATGACCCATGAAGTTTTCTATTTTCATTTTACTGTCGAGCATGATCGGCTGACAAGGGCCAGGTCCCCGCCGCGCGCCCGCACCTCTCATTCAGCTCCATCATCTTCTCATCTTCTAAATTTTCATGCTTGAAGATAATCAAAAAGAAACGTTTATCGACTTTAGAAATCCATAGATTATGTTGAAAGCTGATGGATTGTTGCTTATTAGGATAGATTCTAAGTTTATTGGTTTTGAAATGTTTGGGACTTTGCTCAGATTTTTTAGCAGTTTGTCTCTTTCATTTTCATATTCTGGACATTCAAAAATTATGTGGGAAGGATTTGAAGGGCAATCGCAAGTGGGACAGTTCGGAGACGATGCCAAACCGATTCTCTTCTTGTAGCTACCCCATAGGCCATGATTTGTCTTCAGTCTAAAAATAGTAGAATAGAACTCCTTTGACATTCCTTCTGGGCTATCGCCTTCCGAAAACCATGGTTTTTTCTTGAGCTCAGGGAACAGTGACCTGTAATAATTGCCAACATTTGATGCGTTGTATTTTTCTTGCCACAGATTTCTACAAAACTTTTCCAAAAAGTTTTTCCCGTCATCTTTAGGAATTTTAATGTCAAGGGTTGGACCTGATGTTGCAGCCTCCTTTGCAAGTGCGTCCACCGTTTCATTTTGCCATAAGCCTGCATGCCCTTTCACCCAACACAATGCCACCCTTTTTCCCATGATTTTTGTCTCAAGCATTTTCCTACAGATTTGGGCAAAAATATAGTTTCTGCATTTATATTCTGGGGTAATGTTATTTATCCTTTCTACAATGGTTCGACAGTCTGTGAGGATACAAAATTTAGAATCACCCAATTTTCGTATGTAATCGAGAGCGCTATCTATCGCAATTAGTTCTGCTGTATAAACAGACATTGAAGTTGGAAGCGAATGTCGTTCCTTGTATTGATGTTTAGGGTCAAAAACATTACATAAAAAGATAAGTTAATTAAAAGAAATATTGGCCTCCCACACCAGTTTAATTTCAAAAGTACCCCCAACACTCTACATGTTTCGAAAGCAGGGATTGTCTAGTAGAGGTGTGTTGTTCTACATATATGGGGAAGGGTTTAGTGCATCGTTCTAGAACGATGGCTCTGACGATTGTGTTAACATGGCAACTTCATAAGTCGCTGAGAATTGAATCCTGATTACACGACATTGAAAATGGCAAAAAGAGGGAAAATTCAAACGGTTGTAGGTTGATGGAGGTGTCCAAGAGGATCGAAGTCACGATAGCTTAAATGGTAGAGAAGCGGCGTATTTAGCTGAAGGTCGTGGGTTCGAATCCTGCTCATGACACTGACTTTTTAATCTCAACCAAGACCTTACATAAAAATAATAATTAATTGAAAAAAATTAACTTGGTCAATTAGATCACTAAAATATAAATGGATTAATATGTTAAATATAACATTAAATTATGTTTGCTTCAGGTACAAAGAGGTTCCTGGTAACATTGACATCCAACACACTTATCCAATTTTGTGGTCAACTGATGATTGGGTACCTGTGTAAAATAATTTTTATATTGTTATCGTAGTGTAATGTAAGCAAGTGGCTTACAAATTAGAATTTTTACCAAAAACTAAACAAAGTAATTATTCAAAGCCTTAAAATATTTTTCTTGTTACAGCAACCGCGCCATTTTAAATCTTGACATTTATTTGCAATTGTGATATATATTTTTACACCTTTCTTTAGTTTTTCTTGTTTTTAATGTATTTTTTGTATATTAATTAACACTTAATATTATTTACTCTATTGATGTGATTTACATAAATATAAATGGCTAAATATTTGTCAAAATTACACAGTTGACATACGTAAGTAACTGTCTAAAAATAAATATATATGAAACAAAAGAGCTTTAAATATTGTTATCTATTAATGTATTTTTTATGGAACATCTAAATGGAGGTATATTATTAGTTCTTGGTTCACTCACTCCAATTTGTTTTGAATATAAAGTTTATTTATGCACGATTAATTTCAGCACAATTCGTATTAAATTTGTGTTGATAATTTAGTTATATAATTAAATTATTATTTCTGTAGTAATTATATTTGTGAGATTGCGAAGACAAAAATGCTCTTTCTGTCCCAACAGGAAAATAACAGACTTGTAGGGTTTGAGGGAAAAAGAGAATATCTGCTTATCCTGATGGGATTGATATCATCAATCATTGAAAATGAAAGTAAATTTGAAAAAAATAAAAACACATTTCCTTTGAAGCTTTGGAAGAATATATCCATTCATCAGGACTTTTTTGACTATGCCTAATGATTTACATGGTGGCAAAGAACATAATGAATTTACTAGTTTAGCTTAATAGAGTGAACAACTGTAATTTAATTTTTAAATGTAATAGAACACAAAATTATTTGTAAACCTAGCTCAAGTGAGATAGACTCGTGTAAGTTACATATAACTCATATTCAATTGGCTTGGATAACAATAAGTTAGAATTGTAATGTGGAATCGATGGATGGTAGGTTTCATCCATTCAACTAAACCATACTCGTAAATATTACAAGTAAAGTGTAAATCATAGAAAGAGTTTCAAAATATTGATGAAGTGGAGATCTTTGAAAATTGACAAAGTAACCGAGTGTTTTTCATTCTTTTAAATTCACTTTGTCCCTAATTTTGAATATATAAATATTCTCTTAGTCTGATAGGGTACTGGAGGAAGAGCAGTGAAGATGGAGAACATCGACCTTCATTGTGCATACCCCATATGACGTATTTGTGTTCATAGTTTAATGCGGACCATAACAAATAAGATGCCTCAAAAACATTAACGTCCTTCAGTTAATATTATTTTTTAATTTGATTTTTATTTGTCATTAATATTTTTTGTAAGCTTTTCAATTAAGATGTTGGTACTTTATGAAGGGGCACATGAATCGTATATTTTATTATAAACCACCATTCTGGTGGTGATCATTAAGACTTGTTTCCTACATCAGTCGCCTCTTTTTAAGTATAGCTTCGTCAATTTTCTAAGTCATATTTTTTATTTTGTCCAGTCAGCTTTTCTATTATTTTTTGTTAACTTTTCAACATGACTATTGTAATTTTATCAAGGGGGCTGAACTCCCTGCTATTTAATTTATGTGCTATTTTATAATGCTATTCAACTTTACTTTTATTTGTTAATTAAACTTGTAAGAGCAAGTGCTGATTAAATAGTAAGTAATGCATTAAGATGAGAGAAAAGGCTGGTCCTTCATTTCTCATGTTATGCATGTTATTGTAAAAGAGTGATTTGAGATTTTTATCTCAATTTGTAACAATTCTGCTATTATTGTGTGGTAAGAATTGTGATGGTAAAATATAAAAAATAAAATACTAAAAACTAAAATAACCTGTAAATTAATTTTCCTCAAAACGGAACTATCTGGTATATTTTATAAGAGAATTATGGCTGTTAGGATCTCCTGAAATTTAACTCCAGACTGACCATCATGCCCAAAGAACTCACTTTCTGCCCTTCAACTTCTTGGGAAAACAAAACAAGAGGGGATTGAACAACGAACAGGCTGACAAACTAGCAAAAGACCTCCTTTAGACTAGAAAATCAGCACACCACAAAGCGGAAATGAACAAATCAATAGAGAAAGAAACGAACACACTGGATGAATTCACCAAGTGAAAAATAATCAAAGAAGATTCTCTGCCTGTAAATTATCAGTACGCAAACTGTAGTCACACCGGAAAAGTAACACTAATTCCAAGAAAAATTAATTACTGTAACATCGATGTATTCCTCATGCGTAACATAAGGCCAGTAGATCCCATGGTCATGGGTTTGATTCCCACCGTCGTCTCTGGACTTTTTTCTGATGCCTAAGAGGACGGTGGCCACACTTGATAGAAACTGATACAGCACTCATCAATGGAAGATCTGGGCCGGTGGGATCAGATCTCAGTGACATTCATTTTCTTTGTACAAATAATTCGTTTAGTTAATCAATCATTATTAACAACAAGGTTACCTTGAGGTACAGGGCATGAAGGTACAGAAGGAAACTCCAACTAGCCAAAGAAGCAGCCATCTGGCCCATGGAACTGTTAGTCAACGTGCTAAAATTGAAGGTGGAAAAAAAGCTTGAGAAAAGTCAAAAACACCAGGCAAACTCAGAGATAAATCTATCAAAACAGAAGGAACTACAAAAATGAAACATTCAAACAGAACATTATAATATAACATATTATAAGAACATTATATTCTACACTGGCCACTGCTCTTTTACTCTACCTAAGGATGGATAAAAGAGAAAAAGGAACACGCCGACGGTTAAGAGAAATTAGAAAAATTGGCACACTCTTTATAAATGTAGGTCGATAGTAGCTGCAACAATATTCAACTGACATAATGATATAATTGAATATTCAACAGAATTGAGATGGATAGCAATAGATAAACAAAGATGAGAGATATAAAATACATGGATAGCTAGAAGAGCTATTCTGCAAAATTTCTTTGTTCGACCAACTCAGCTCCTCGAGAGATAGAACGAGCTGTCCCGTGCCTTCCCAACATTCCTTCCACGAGACACAAAATTCAAAATGTATGAGTTGCCTTAACAGTCATAATAATAGAGGTTCCAAATAAACCTAAAAAAAATCCCCTAGTTGATATGACCCTAGTCAGCCCTCCTTCACTCCCTTCAACTGAGATATAGTTTACAAATTTGTTACAATAATCCGTTAACATTCGTGGGTGTTTGGTTCCAGAAAACTGCCAGAATGTTAAATCCGCAAATGTTGAGTCTATTTTCCTATGCTGTACGGAGGATTATGTTCCATGACGCCAAAAATTGAGATACAATTTAGAACTAAAAAAAGTTTATTCAAAATAAACGTAATAGAAGACATAACAATGTTTGAGTGTTTGAAAGGGTATAGAATATAAAATATACACTTAGTTGGGGGCTGAAATGACCTAGATGTCGGAAGCCCCAGTTAAAAAAAAAATTGTTTGAACATGTTAACTGTTTTCACTGTTTGTATTTTTTGACATGCAAGATAAGAAATGACTATTAATTGTTCGCTGTTTCGCCGAATAATTAATTTCTTTAAGAATTTTCATATAAGGATTTGAAGTGGCCTCGACATCCCGTTTAAACTTAAAACTTCGATTTAAAGATGGGTCCATTGCTTTTTTAATAAGTTGGTCCCTCAAGGTTAAATTTCCCTGAGCTGTTTTGAGAAAAAAAGCTTTGGTCTGCATAAAAATTTTAAAATGTAACGTCCAAATTTTTATTCTTTCATAAAGGATGTTTTTTTTTTGAAGAAGAGGCATTTTGTGACACAAATTCCACGATAGAATAAAACAAACTGAGAAGAAAGAAGGAACAGAATGAAAGCAAGCAAAAGTTTTCTGAGAGTTAATTAGAGCCTTTAATCCATTTTTGAAATACAAAAATATATATTTTTTGCAAATAAAATTGGACTTCTGGATATGCCAAAACTTTCCTCATTTTTTCATATGTGAATAGTGAAAACCGCTAGTGTTAAGGGATTAGTGTATTTGAATTACACAACAATAAGGTTTTCTTATTAAAAATAATAATTAAAGCTGGGATTGAGTGTAGATAAAGCCATCAATCAATTAAATGAAATAAAGTATATTTTATTTTTCAACAAAGATATTTTTTATTTTAACATCTATACATAGTCAGTAAAATATACTTGTCCCGATTATCAATAAATCGTTGCTATTTATATAATTTATTATTGATATTATATACAGTATTAAACAATAAATTAAAAAAATATCCCTACACTACTAATTGATGTAAAACAAATGAAAATTTTGCTCAATGAAAAGGAAAAACCTAAGATTACAATATATACATAAAAAAGTTGTAAAGTATATCACAATAGAAATTAATTGGAATGTCCAAATAATATAAATAAAATTAAAGCTTAAATATGACAAATTATGGATTAAGTGTAATTTAAAAAAAATATACAAAACAAATGCAATCTCACACATACCACAAAAAGTAATTTTTGTTTTCTTTTTTGAAGATCTGATCACAATCTTACTTAGCATTTTATAACTTACATAATTATTGCTTTTTTTATAACAATTAATAGTACAATTTATGGTAATCTAGTGGAATATTAAAAAGAAAGGTGTATTGGGTAGATTGGGATTGTTTTCGTTTAGCAGAAGTCTTCTACTTTAGATTGTTTAAAAATAAAACAAATGCATAGATAATTTTTCTTTAACCTTAAGTACCTAACTTTCTTTGGTAGTTATGTTGTGCAGATATTCAGTATAGAACTTCTAAGCCATTTCCTTTTCAAACTCACTCCATGCGTTGTTTAATTCCATAAAAATCATTTTAGCTAAATTCTCATTGGGTGTGCCTATATGCTGCAAAAAGGAAATTATTTCAAACAAAATTAATCTTTTATTGTTATTTAATTACCTTATCAGGGTGAACTGCTATACAAGCTTTTCTATACGCTTTTTTAACGTCTGCTGCTGACACAAGTTGATGCATGTAACACTGGGGCCATTTTGCCTCTGACCACAAGACGGTATGTAATGTTGTTAACAATGCTCGTATGTTTGTTGTTTTTCCTTCGCTCCAGTCCAGGACCTAGAATTAAAACATTGTTATATTTGTTATAATAAAATTTTTAAAATTAAAAATATTTGTACTTTTAATTTTTCCGGGTCTGTAACTTTAGCTTTATCTTCCCTTCGCATTTGGTTTATTGTTAAAGGCCCTGTCTCCTTTTTAGCTGTGAATGTGTATCCTTGGCTTCCGAGTAGATCACCAAATACATCTTCAACTTTTTTACCTTGAATAAACGCTTTGTTAATATGTGTTAACAATCTATGTAAAAATATATAATTTACAAGGTGATGGCTGAGTAGGAGGCGGTTTTGCTGATTCAAAATGCGATCGGCTGTAATTCGCTTCTGAAGGCGTCTTTGCCGGACTGTTTGCATTGCTCATTGCTTTTGGTTTTACTACTGAAATGACACACATTGATTTCTTAACTTTTCACAAGGGAAGAGTTCTGAAAGGGAAATGTTTACCGAAATCATCCAGTATGTCGGAGTGCAAGTTGGGAGAGCTGACGTTTCGTTGCATGGATGACGGAAAACAGCCCAAGTTGTTTTTGTCTTGAAAACTGTTACTTAACCCGTTCGTGTTTAAATTGAGAGTTTGCAAATTTGGCATTGTAGGTTGAGCAAAATTCCCAAAATTGGGTGTTGGGGTTGGGGTGGTGGTACTTGTCATGTTTAAATCGCCCCAATCATAAAGAAGATTGTCACTTTTTGGAACGTTCTAAAAGAAAAAAACACATGAACACATTGATCTATTTTCCATTCATATCATCAAGTTTTGACAACATCATGTTTTAAAGGCCACACTGGCTGAGATCGCTAATAAACCTGATCCCCAAATTAGACATGTTCTTAGAATCTTCTTTGATAATGAAAATTATAAAAGTAGAATAAATTTAAAATAGTAATTATGCTTAAAAGGTACTTAAAACCTTCTTTTGTGACAGGATACTTTTATTTTTAAATTACAAATTGACAAAAAACTTAGAAACTATATCCAAATACCTTTTGTCCATTGGATGGTTGTTCTCCAAAAAGCTGTTCTGTTGCAAAGGGTTCAAAAAGAGGATTTTGGAGGTTTGGAGTGTTTATGAATGGTTTTTCATTCACTTGTGGATCGGGTTCTGAACCAAGATTAAGTAAATCATCTGTTTTGACGCCGCTTACTGAATTCAGGTTCAACAAGTCACTAGTTTCTTTTACATCTACATTCGGCTGTAAGCAAAACAAAAATTTAGATTTCAACTTAATCTAGAGGTGCACTTTATTTACCTTCATCTGTGGAGTGACTGGTGGTGGACGGGGAGGTGTTGGTCTTGGAGGAGTAGGTCTCGGCGGTGCTTTTTTTGAGCCATTGTTCTTCGGAACTGTAAATTTAATATAATTAATAAATATATTAAATAAAAAACTTTAAAAAATTTACCAAATGAATCTGTAGTTTCATCAGCTTCAAGTTTAGAATTGAAGAGTATATTTGGATCAACTTTTTGATGCTTCGCCCACGGTGCGATGGTGACTGTTGGATCCCCTGCCTCTTCACAGTTCAATGTAACAATTAGATTGTCTTGGTAATACTCAGGCGATTCAACATCATCTAAATCTCCCCTTTAACATTTTTTTGAAATAAATAATACTAATAATGACATATCTCTATTAAAAATCAATTTTTACCTTGTAAATATAAGAGTATTATCATTAACAAAAGATGAATTAAATTGTAATTTAAAGATTTTAATTGGTGTCACCCTCGTGAGGACTTGTCGGGCATGATATACTACTAAAGTGATATCTCCACTCACCGAACACCTGACAGGCAATACAACCTGAAAATTTGCTATTAGTATACATTCTATGCATAACGTATTAATAGTAATACTAAAATATTTAACCTTCCCATGTGATACAGTAAAAACCACCATCCTGTCGTATTCATCGATTGTGGTGAAAACTTTGTCCTCTCCTTGAAACACCTCAACATAGGGGCGACAACCATCTCTAAATAAGGAAAAAAAATTACTTACTATTTTTTAACTCAATGAGGGTGAGAAAATAAATAAAATACCTGTTTTTGTTGAATAAAGGTACTGGCTGAATCACAATATTCATAATTCTAATTTTACTACAGCTCAAAGTCGGTTGTGGGTCTGCAAGCACTTGGGTAAAATATTCCAAATATCTAAAATTTAAATGAATTTGTATTGTCGCATATTTGTCAATTGGTTATTTGCAATTATTGGCTTTTTTTGCAAATAATATTTAAATAACTCTTGATAAAGTACCTTATTTGAGAAGGTTGAAGGTTCGGTGGTGTTCTTTTAACAGCATATAACTGCAAGGCATCCTGTGGTCTAGATACAAAACCTACATAAAGGAGAAAAGCGCACACCAACATTGCTGAGCTACGTCTTCCATCCTAAAATATCCATTTTTTTAAAAAAGTCCATAAAACTGCTTATTCCAAAATGACTCACTGGACAGAGCACGAAGCAAACATTTGTAGACTGGCTTTTTAAGAAATTATGCATATGCTCACACAGTGTATAAATAGCTTGAAGTGAAGGGCATCGCTTACTCCAACCGCATTCTACTATCTGAACATTTATTTTAAAAAAATCAATGTCAATAATTTTTTTTAAAATAAAAATTTTACTACCGAAGAATTAGGAAAACGATGTAATGGAAGAGGAGCTGTTGAAAGATTGAAGATTATGCAGTTTGACAACGACTGCCTTGATTCGACCATAAACCTAAGATCCTGAAGTGTATCAGGTCCCTCTGTATAATTTATAACGCATATACGAGACGTGATATAACTCGCTGCCATCTCCTCTGTTCGCACCATGGTCCTTATACAGAAAACGCAGGTGAACAAATAAAATAAGATTTATTATTTAAAAATTTTACTCACTGCTGGACAGACTGGACAACTTTGGATGATGTGTCCTTCAAGTTTTTTAGAAAACTTCCAGCCCCACCTCTTATTTGGGAGAACAATCCACCACTACTAGGAGTTGGCTGAGCCGGAACATTGGGTGGTGGTGGCCTATAAAATGTACAGTTATAAAACTTAAGAAATATAAATAATTTCTAGCTTCATAATCTGTGATCATTATGATCTACCTAGTCTCACTGGTTTTGTCCGTCAGGCGCATTTCATCATTTTGTAATATTCAGTCTGTATGTCATTTTTGTCAGCTGAGTCCCTTTTGTTTCTAAAAAGAGAAGGGGTAAAACTTGAAAAGGGGTTGTGATTTTCTTTATAAAGAAACCCCTACTATAGTGAAGAGATTTTTATATGCTGATTCGAAATATATATATGAAAACAATTCTACATAAAAAAGAAAACTATAAGTTCTGATATTACAAGATTTTTTAGTTCTGTGGAGGGTAGAATTTGAAACATAATATGGGAACATTTATAATTGATCTGAGGACTTTACTGAAAGGATTGGAGACACTGAATGTTAAAAGGTTCAGCAGTTCCCTACTATTCCGTATGTACAAATCTAGTATATAGTAGCATTTTATAGATGGAAGTTTGTTTTTCGTCGATAGCTTGGACTATTGTCCTCTAAGTGTAGAGTAGACTGTAGAATTTGCTTTGGAGTGTAAATGTGACAAGGACGCACTTGTTTTAATTTATTTTCCACAATAAGTTTCTGCAGATCTTTCGAAGCAATTACAGGATCAGGATTAGTGTGTCCAGCAGAGTGTGAGGAGGAAGGTAGGTTTAGTGGGAATATCTGCAGTCTAAGTACACTGCCCTGTGGCACACTCACGTCAGAGAGCAGTATTTGGAGTAATCCAATTTTTATTGGACCCAAAAGAACTTGTTCTGTTAGAAAAAAGTGGAGGATTAAGTAGAAGTTGTTTGGAACAACGCACATTAATTTGTATAGGAGGCCCTTGTTCCATGTGCAGTCAAATGCTTGTGCAACATAAAATCTTTATAAATCTTCCTGTCTAAATATTATGTGTCTGTTTAAGTTTCCCTAAGTTTCCAAGTATGTCCATATTTTATCCTAATCCACATTTGTTTGAAAATAGATACCTTTGTACTGGACTATGGGATCTGTTTAAAGCAGCATTGTTTGAAATATTTCTAACAGGACTAGAATTAACATTTTCATTAGCACCTGAAAAATAAAAATTTATGAATATCAAAAACAAAATCTCCTTGACAATGTAATTTCTTTACCTGTGTTACTAATATTATTTGGCTGCAATTTATCTATAACTATAGGATCTAATGGGTTTATTTGTTGGGTCTCAGCAACAGAAGCAAGCCTATCTAAAATTTGTGTAATTGTCAATCTATTACTTGGCTGGACGACCAGACAACCACCTAAAATTAATATAGATAGTTTATTTTTTATCCCTGACCTTTATTACGATTAAAATTTTTAAATGCGTACTTATTATGCTATGGAAGCATCTGTACTTCGAGTCAGACGATGGGATATTGTAATTGGCATTTATTATTCTAAGATTTGATGAATCCTCAAATGGATGTTTTCCAAAGCAAAGGAAATAAGTGAGACAACCAAGCGCCCAAATATCAGCAGCTGTACCTATCTCGGCATTCACCCAGGTGTCTATCATTTCAGGAGCTCGGTACATAGGTGTTGTACACATGTTCATCTGTTTTACATTTCAATTATTATTATTTCAAGAAAAAATCTAACTGTCTCAAAATATACCTTATCTTCAAGTAAAAATCGTTGTTGAGCACTCCATGAGTTGTCTGGGCGAATTATGTGACTAGTCGCACTTCCAAAATCACAGAGTTTAATTTTCCCTTCGCTGCTTAATAATAGATTTTCAATCTAGACAAAAAAAATACAGATTAAATGTTTATTTTAATTGAAAATTTATGTTTTAACCTTTAAATCTCGATGAACAATTGGGGGAATCTGACTGTGCATGTGATGTACAGCTTTGCATGCCTGCCATAAAATTTTTGTAACTATTTCAGGAGGGAAACCCACTGTCGACTGTTTCCTCAACTGTTCAAGACTCCCACCTGAAAGGGTTAAATTTTTAAATCAACTCAGTAAAATATTTTTAATTATTTGATTAATTTACCAGGACACAATTCTGTTAGAATTAAATATTCGCCCATGCCATGTTCAGTTTTTGAATCATCAATAAAAGAAGCGCCATAAAATTGAATTACATTTGGGTGTCCAGAGAGCTTTTTCTGATAAGTGTATTAAGGTTTATTTTATTTGAAAGGTTGAACTAATCAAAATTTTTTGCCAAATGTCAGGCCTTGTTTAACAAAAATAAAAGCCAATTATAAACAAGTAAAGGATACCAAAATGTTTATTTCTTGGATGATGGTTTGTTTAGTCTCTTCATCGGCTGCCATAAGTCGCTGCAAACATTAACAATTCAATTTGTTAAATATTAATGAAAATTTTGACAAAAAAACAAATGTATTGTAAAACAAGTAAATTCAATAAAAATTGTATGTACTTGTAAACAAATTTAAACAATATATGAACAAGTTTGTTCCATTACTTGTTGCCAATATGAAAATATTTTTTTAATTCTGTCTTCTCTGAGCTTATCCTGAATGAATCAACCTATCAACGAGTATTCTGCAATCCTCAAATGAAATAAAGTGTTTTTCCCATTATTAGAGTTTTGCAGAGCCTGGAATAAATGAAAATCTGAGGGGTAATGTCAGGCAAATGTTGGATGGGGTACCATCCCAGCCAAGTTCCGAATTGGCTCTGGCCTGTTAGATCGAGCAATGTTAACTAGTCGATTCTAACAAGTCTAAATTATCATTTTTCTCGATCTAACAGACTTAACAGGGTTAACACAAAGATCGTGAATACCTGTAATTTCTGCCCACCTGCAACACATGCAGGGGAATGTTATCCTGGTGAAAAACAATCCCCTTGCAATTAGCCAATTTAGGCCATTTCTGGTCAATGGCTGACTGATTATTCCAATTATGTGCCGTATACACTAGAATTAACCATTTGGTGAACGAAAGATGCTTGTAATAAAGCACCCCCATCTAATTCCATCAAATTCACATTTACCTTTTTGAAAGAGTTGTTAGCAGTGGCTCACTGCGTTTTCCCCAGCTTTTTTTTTTTTTTTAAATCTCTAACTAACATTGTTATAAGGACCCTCCTTTTCATCCCCAGTCAGAATTAAAAGTTTTAAAAAATTTTTAAAAAAGAGAGTAGTTTTGTTCCCTGTGATGTCTCGTGTGTTATTTGTAACAAGTTTGAATTTGTTCATTATCAGCAGTTGAAGGACAACCAGAACAATTTGAGTCTTCTACATCAAAATGTCCGTTTCAAACCAAGCAACTACACTTTCTCCTAAAGCATCATCACTAAAGATCGTAAAATCAATTTTTTTCCAAATCCATTTTGATTATTATTTTTTATTATTAGCATTATTTACTATTTTTATAATTCGCTTCAAAGTTTTGAACTTTTTTTAATTTTCCCAAGTAATTGTTTTAAGTTCAACATGTCCCGATACTCCCTGTTCCATCAACTGCTTATGTCTCACTTCTTAGTCTTACTTCAGTGCAAAAGCAAATAATAAATAATACAAATAATAAGAAAATAATAATGCCTGAATTTGTAGTGCCAATGTTCAAATGTGCTGGCATCCCGGAACTGAAGACTGATGGTAAAATTATTTTTAAAGATGAGTGAGTCTTTTCCCTTTTGAATTACATTCTGGATGACAGAAAAAAATTAATTGTTGTACTCTATTGTTATTAATTTCTAACTATTTAAAGCTATATAATATATTGATATAATTGTACATTAATTTGTTTATTGCATTTTGTTCTTTGATGCATAGTTTATAAGCTATAGTTTATTGTCATTATCTAGTTGTATATTTTTAAATTTAGTTATAGAATTTAATTGCATATTTATATTGAGTTTAAAAATGAGCATAATCGATTGGTTATAAGAAACAAACAATTACATTATAAACAATAATTTATTGAAGTAGATAATAGCAGTCAGGAATGATGTATTTTAGAAAAACACCTTTTTCATTTTTTGCCATTGTTTCCAACTTTATTGATCATCTTCAGGGCCTGGATGAATTACATTGGAAAAAAAATTGTACAACACAGATGTCCAATATATGTTTTGTGATTTACACAAGCCCTAAAAGATGACCCGAACAAAGGTCGAAACATCGACAAAAAAAGGTGTTTTTCTGAAATACTTAATTTCTGATCATTCCTCACTATTTCAAAAAATTATTGAACAATTGGTTGCCAAATAACACACTTTATGAACAATGTTAAAATTTTTACTAAGTTAAATGAAATTTTTACCTTTATTACACTTTTTTGCACATTCTGAGGTTTTTATTTCTCGTTTTGAGGATTTTTATTGAACAAAAATCCAGTCTTCAGTCATTAGATCACAAATTTTCTGATCACAGGCAGAGCTGATTTTAAATTAGCAAAACTCCTTGTAAAAATACAAGATCTCTGACTAAACTGACAAAAAAATAAACCTTTTCAATGAAGCAAGCTAAGAGATTTATAAATCACTCAAAACAAAAGGCAAAGGAACTTCTCTACCTCAGCAGGTAAGATTTTAGAAAAATTATAACCCTCTTTAACCGGCCACTGCTCTCTTCTCTATCTCTTAAGAAGATGGGCAAAGCTGACTCTGCGAGGAGGAACCAAAGACATCAGCACATTCCATTGTGAATATACAATACAGCCACTTCAATAGGGCATTTCTCTTACCAAAGGAGGTTGGTAAAGGGGCACCAAGAAAACTTTTAGTTTTATAAGAAAAAGTTCACTTTCCACTGTAAGCTATAGGGGTTCCACAATAGATCTGCTTAGGTCGCAGTGGATTGTCATAATTCTGCATCAACCCCCCCCACCTTATATTTTAAAAAATTTCTTTTCAGAGCGTGTAAACAATAATAGCTAAATAATTATTTTTTCAAAATACAAGAAGGATAAAACCGAATTATTGAAAAATGCTACTTACTTATACTTCAAGCCAATACAAAATGTAAACATATAAAATTAATTGAACTATTAATATTTGAACAATTATTGTTAAATTTGTAATTTGTTATAAACAGTATAGATTGGAAATTTATTTTTACCAACTACAACACATTTGTCATGACTCATAAATTATAATAATTTGTTAAGAAACATTATATTAAAAATAAATATTTTTGAAGGGGCTGAGGACTGATAAATGTATTGCACACAAAAACGTTACGTCGAGGCGTATACCCTGAAGTAAACTAATCAATTTTTGGGTCATTGGTTAATTTTTAACAAGCCAAAGAGGTCAATGATTCCCGTGTTACAAAGAACATGAACAAAAACTTCAAATACACAAAACTAAACTTCTTTCTGTTGTTTTGTTCCATTTCATTGGATATAATTAATGTATGTGTACATTATTTATTTATAATTTTAATATTAACATAAGTGCTTAATGTTTAATTTCTTTATTTTTTAATTATTCATAAGCAAAACATTTACTTTAAAAGGAAAAAATAATTCTTGTGTGTAAGGCAGAAAATTTTTTAAGTTCTTAAAAAATAACAGGAGCTTAGCTTAATTCTCACAATTTAATAAATAAAACCTCAATAAATAATAGTTCAACCACGCATCACTTTGTTCGATGCAGGTTTAAACAGTATTAAATTCTTGTACCTTTCTAACCAACATCACCTAAATAACTAAATTAGGAAATACTCCATGAAAGGATTTTTAATGTAGTCCAGTTTTAAAGCTGTATGTTTGTTCACACTGGCACAAACAAACATGACAGTATGGACAAAATAAAATTAATTATATATTGTTACTTAAAAACCTTCACTGATCCAATTACTTAATTTGATTTGTTTGATTTTAAATTACAATAGGCTTTTTTATACCTTAATTTTCGCCAGTCATAGTGATCTGTTTTGTACAAGTTATATTTTTCATATAATACTTTCATTATACACATTTCCGGGGCAAAAAATACATTTTTATTAATTTAGTTAATGAAATGACAACATATATTGTAGATTAGCTTATTTTTATTAAAAATGTTGCATCTTTTTAAATATCTTGTTGGTTTCTTTTTATATGACCTGAAATATTGTAAAGATTTTTGTATGCTGAAGAGGAAGCGTTATTTCAAAATAAATATAATTTATTATATTAATCAGCATATGTTTAGCAGTCATTGATGGTATTAATTATTTCAATTAATAATACTTTTTATCTAAGGTCTTGGTTGAGATGAAAATTAATATAATTTATAATTTATATAAATAATAATTATTGTTTAAGGAATTAATTTTATAAATATTATCTAATTTATAAAAATATAATTTATAAAAAAAAACAACTATATATCTTTTGTATGTATGAATTATTTACGGGCTGACAAACATCAAGTGGTCATCACCGACCCTCTGTGTTTTAAACAGATAATTCTTCGAGTTTCTTTTTTCTTTTCTTTCACACATCTTTGTCACTGACCCTCAGATATTTCTCTCCTGTTTTTTAACTTGCTACCTTCTTAAGTTACCTCAGGTTGTCAAATTATTATTAAACATACAAACACATAAAGATTTTAATGTTTCCCACCGCCCCCAGAAACACCACACCCGGGGAGTGAGTAGAGGAAACCCCATAATGACCCCGAAAGGTTGTATCTGTTTTTCATAAAAAAAGAAATTGACAAGATATATAACAGAAATACGTAGTTAATAAAATAAATGGCAATTGAATTAATTGTACTGAAAAATGAACCAATGTTGGGTGTTGTTCTTCGTAAATATAAATTCTACAAGTATACTTTGCCTTTTTTTTTGTTTAATTTCAATGTGATGTGTTGAATACATTGGTGTATGATCTGGTTAGGCGATATTTGAAAAAAATTGCCCCGATGTAATCTTCACTTATCTGTTTTTATCAACAAATGTATTTTAGTCCGTCCTGTTCATTATTTCATTCAATAAAGCCAACGATCAGTCTCTTAATGAAGAGACAAACAAACATAAATAACTTGTCAATATTCCAAATTTACAACGCTGACCTGAATTTTGGCCTAAACAATGTTATTATATTATATTGATCCGTGTATGTTTAGTGGTCATAATTGACCATGTTAATTATTTCTATTAATTGTTCTTTTTATCTAAGATCTTAGTTGAGATGAAAAACTTAGTAGGATTCGAACCCATGAATTGTGACACTAACTTTTACAATTCAATCAAGATAAAAAGAATAATTAATTGAAATGTTATTTATAAATTGTTATTTATATTTCTACAACACAAAATGATATATGGCTCATCTGTAGATAATGTATATTACATACTGTTTTTTTATTTATCCATCTAATATTAATTTGCATTTTTTGTTTTGAACAAATTTATGTTGAGTCCTTAAACCCTCTCTTCTCTATTCTACGTGTATTTTTAATGTTGTCGAAGTTCATTCATGCTTGAAACAATAGAATCATCCTTAAAAGAAGAATGGCACACCTCAAGATGATGTCACTGCTCAACCTGGTAATTACTTATCTAAAAGAAAGGTGTTAACTTTACATGGTTAACCTTGGTGACTTTTCTAATCCAACCAAAGCTATTTTAAAAATTTCAAACAAGGATGCAGCAAAATCAAATATTAAGACTTTATCTATTTTCACTGAAGGCCATGTTAATATATATTATATTTGTAGAGCTGATGTCAATCAACATACAATAAACACATGGAAATTTTTTCCAATGATTCAACTGTCGATTAACACAAATGTGGTCATGGAACAAAGAAATTGTAAAATTATTAATATCTACACTATAATTTTTTAGGGGGATTTTAGAAGGATGTTAATAAAAAAACATTTGAATAATTTTGCATAGCCAATTATCTATTATATAATTAAAATCTGACAACCCCGTCAAATTATCCAAAATCAGGCCAACAAGAGCTTTGGGGAAAAAAAAAAAAAAAAAGCAAATGACGTACAATTTCTTCCTGTCATAATAAACAAGAAATGAAAATCCTGCCACCTTTATGTACAAATATCCACAGACTCCACAGAGGAGATCAACACATGCAAATTTTCCTCCCAAAACCATAAAACTTTATCATTGAATATCTCAGCAGTGAATTCATGTATATTCAAAAAATAAATTGTATTTGTATTCTGTGGTGGGAATTTTCATGAACTTTTTTTTCTTGTCACTTTTTATTGCCTAATGCAATGTCTGACCTCAGACTCTCTACACCTGAGGTGGTAGATTCCTGAGGCCTGCCAGTAAACTACAAAAGCGGTACTGCGAGAAGTGATAGGCTCAACTCTGTACAAATGTGTGTGTATACGTGTTATATACATTCATGTCCAGCTTTGAGCTTTATGTAAATCAGCAGCAATCTATCAAAACAAAGAAAAGAGACTTATGAGGAAATTATTTAATAGTTATGCTTTTTAAAATGCTACGCTTAGCACAAATATAATATTTATTTGTTTTTATTAATTATTAATAGATATCTAAAATAGTTTTTAGGATAATGTAGAAACAGCTGAGATGAAAAATTAGTGTTACAAGTGGGACTCAAACCCACAACCTACAGATCAATACCCAGCACTTGTACCATTTGAACTATCTTGACTTCGGAACTCGAGACATTAACTCCTGATCTCACCCGACTAGTATTTACATTTTTTCTCAATTTAGGTCCCTTGTTAATAATCCCCTTAATAAACATTATGGCATCATATAGCTGCTCAATGACATTATCAATTAGCTAGCAGGAACTTCTCATAGGCGGACCATCAGACACTACAATTATGCTTATTAATTATTTAATACATATTTACAATAATTTTTATGATAATGTGGAGACGGTTGACATGAAGTATTAATGTCACAAGCAGGACTCGTACCCACGATCTATGGATCAGTACCTGGCACTTCTACCATTTGAGCTATCATGATCTTGGTTCTGGAGATACCAACTCATCTCAACCGATTGCTACTTACTGTTTTCCCTCATTTTACACCAATTATCAAACATCGTGCCATCATTTAGCTGCTCAATGACATTATCAATTGCTAACAGGAAAATAACATCTTGCAGGACCATCCACATTACAACTATTCTTATTAATTATTTAATAGTTATATAAACTAGTTTTTAGTATAAGTAGAGAAAGTTGAGAAGAAAAATTACTGATCAGTGCCCTGGCATTTTTACCACTTGACCTATCATGATTTCGATCATCAAGGCACCAACTCATCTCAACCGACTACTATGTACTGTTTTCTGTCATTTTGTGCCAATTATCAAACATCATAGCATCATATAGCTGCTCGATGACGTTATCAATTGCTAACAGGAAATTATCGATCCAGTGGGACCATCATATATTACAACTAATCTTATTAATTATTTTATAGTTATCTAAATTAATTTTTAGGATAATGTAGAGAAAGCTGACATGAAATATTAATGTCACTAACAGGACTCAAACCACGACCAATGGATCAGTACCTGGCACTTCTGCCAATTTAGGTATCATGATCTTGGTTCTTGAGACACCAACTCATCTCAACCGATTACTATTAACTGTTTTCCCACTTTTTACACCAATTGTCAAACATCATGGCATCTTACAGCTGTTCAATGAGATCAATTAGCAAGCAGTAAAATAACGATCACTTGGGACCATCACACATTACAACTATTCTTATTTATCATTTAATAGTTATCTAAACTAGTTTTTAGGGTAATGTAGAGAAAGCTGAGATGAAAAATTAGTGATCAGTACCCTGGCACTTTTACCACTTGAGCTATCATGATTTCAGTCATCGAGGCATCAACTCATCTCAACCGACTACTATTTACTGTTTTCCCTCTTTGTACACCAATTATCAAACATCGTGGCATCATACAGCTGTTCAATGATATTATCAATTAGCAAGCAGTAAAATAACCATCTCATGGGACCATCACACATGACAACTATTCTTATTAATTATTTAATAGTTATAAAAACTAGTTTTTAGGATAATTTAGAGAAAGCTAAGATGAAAAATTAGTATCACCAGCAGGACTGAAACCCACAACCTATGGATCAGCACTCCGGCTTTTTTGTCACTTGAGCTATCGAGACACCAATTCATCTAAGCCAACTGTTTAAATTTGACGTTTTGATGTAAAAAAGAGGCAAAATTTAAATAGTAGTTGGCTGAGATGAGGAGTTGGTGTATCAAGGACTGAAGTTATGGCAGCTTAAATATTTGTTTAGTTTCAATTATGTTTGTTTTAAATAAATAATTGGTTAGGATTATAGTGGTGGCATCTGGAGTTATTTCTTTACACTTAATGTTCATTGTATGTTTTAATTTGTTTATACCTTCTTTTTCTACTTCATAAGAAAAAACGTTTTTGGTTGGCACTTTTGATCAATAGGAAAATGCTGAGACACGATTACCTATAGGAAACGAAGATTTAAAAAAAAAAAAAACAGGAAGTAAAGCGTTTCGTCTCGCTCTGTTTGGGATCAAAGGGCCGAAAGTTAATCTCCTTCATTCTACTTAATTTAATGTTTAAAATTTCTTTTCTCACCTTCAGAGCGTACTCTTTCCCCGAGTCGACCGCCTGGGCGAGGAAGACGAAGGAGAAGCCACCTGAAAAGGAGAAAATTTAAAAAACCAGGATGCAAAGGACGACGGAAAGGTCAAAAGTGGATTGCTACCTTCAGCGATGACTCTCTTGATCCTGATCTTGAGACTGTCCACCTCGACGATCCTTCCGACCAGGTCATTGCTGATCGCCGTCCCGCTGTTGCTGGTACTGCTGAAGTAGCCGAAGGCCGACTTGAACAAATCGGACATTGTTGAGATCCTTCGGTGTTATTTTAATTCCGGGCCGAATGGCATTTTATTCACGGTAAACGGCGATCCCGGTGGAGTCGAACGGCTCGGCCGATAAAGGTCTGATACCCAAAGACGAAGGGACTCCCACACAGTACGGGAGTGACAAGCCCAACAAAAACCCCAAATTCCCTACCATTGCGATTTTCACCACCCCCTCTCTTGGGACGTAGTGACTTTTTATCTGATTCTACACCCAAGCTGCTAGTGACGCTATAGCGGTAGATCCATGGAGCTACACCATCTCTGTAATCGTCACTTTACAGCCATATTGGAGAAGCACCAAAACCCAATAATGCATCCACAAGTCTATCATTCAAAAAGATTAACTCATGCATATATTTTTTAAATTATACATGTGTATTTAACAAGNTAGTAGTGTGGCATTGTTCCACCAGGTTTTGGACTCGTTAAGGATCCATTTTAAGATATGTCCTCTTTTGTGGGGTAGTGCTGATCATACGATTACTACAACAATTAAAGCAATTAGACATGGTAACTTATTACATTGGTTTACATCCTACTTACAAGGTCGAATGCTTAAAGTAAAATTAAAAGCATTTAGTTTTCCAGCAACTTCAGGAGTTCCTCAAGGGTCATACTTAGGGCCTTTTCTTTGTAAAATCTATACAATCTGATTCTTTTGAGTTACAACTTTTTAGCATTGATTTAAGAATATTCTTAAAAATTAATTCGGTTTCTGACCGCTTACAACTTCAACATGCCTTAATAAAATTTAATAAATGGTGTTCAACTCATAATATTCATTTGAATTCAGAAAAATGTTCAGTTCTGATTTTCCATAAAATAAAATATCCTATCAATTTTAACTATGCTATATCAGACTCGCTCCTAATTAGACATGCAATTGTTAAAGATCTTGGCATTATTGACAGTCAGATAAACTTATTTTTTTTAAACATGGGTATTTCGACTATGAAGTTATATAATCCCTTGGGGTGCTGGTATGTTTGAAAAAAAGCCAATTTGTAAGTATGTCCAGTTCAAATGCCGAGTCGCTGGACCTTCACCTTACAGTGATGAGCGCCGTGTCAGCACCTAAACCTTGCGGCCACTGACACATTTAAACTATTGCAAAAGCAAATAAATCTTTAGGTTTTATTACAAGTCTTACTAAACCTTTCCATGATCCAGGCACCTTAAAATTGTATACACTTACAATGTAAGACCAAAATTAGTTCGGTAGAATTTTTTGTTTTGTCTTTTAATATTTTTTCAAGCACCTTCCTTTTTTTTATTATTATTTTTTTTTTTGTGAGGGTATTTCAACTACAAGGTTATATCAACCCTCGGGGTGTCGATGTTTTTTAAAAAAAGCCCATTTGTGTCGTTCATATGCAGGGCCGCTGGATTCAAACTTGGATCCTTTAGCTTACAGTGATGAGTGCCGTATCAATGCCTAAACTGTTGTGGCCACTGTCATTCCCTGCCCCTTCCTTTATTTAATATTTGTGTACATCTTACTAATAAAAATATATGTATTATTCTAATTTCTTCATATGTAAGTTACTTAGATAGGTGGGATGTATCCAACCCATTTTACTGCACATATTATATCTATTAAATTAATTATAAAAGCGTTCATTTTATTTATTTTAATTATTTTTTATATTATTTCATTATTTATTTTCATTTTCAGTAACAATTTTTTTTTAATGGCTTTATGTTCTGTGCATATTAGCCAAAGACAATGTTATTATGCGTATTCGATTTTTGTTTAAATTGGGAATTAGAAGGCTGTACAGCAGTATATGAGTGAATCGCATTCAACCGCTCTGGTTAATGGAATTAAAGTAGCCTCAAAGTAAATAAAAAACAAAAATATTTACAGTTATATAACACAAAACCAAAAAAAGAAGTAATAAAATACAACAAACCAAAAAATCACTGACTACCGCTGTAGATTTTACTTAATACCCCGAAAGAATTATTAAAACGACAATTCACAAAGGCAAATAAACATACAATAAGCATAGAATAATACAATTTAACATTTCAACAAAATAATTTTAATAATCTTACATGTCAAATATTGATTTTACATATTACAACACTATAAATTTTTAATAGTAGATACTGTCAATAAAATGTAATAAAATCAAAGAAGAAAACAATATTTCATTCCATATTATGTATTTGATATTTAAAGAATTCCAACACACACAAACTCGTGTGCTTACAGTGAAAAAAAAGTGATTAAAAAAATGTATTGCAGTTATTTAGTAAACCATTTCATGCATACCAAAAAACAAAGTTTAAAAACAGCAAGGCAGCTTTTTAATTTTTTAAGGGGGGGAGGACAAAATAGGTACATAACGTTGTAGGGCTTTACACTGACTAGAATGTTCATGTGAAAAATATTTTTTTAATAAAGTTTATTGCAGACACTATTTATTTGTTCTTTTTTTACAGATTTCTAATGTCACAATACTTATACTTTCTAAATTTACCTCAAACTCTTTTTCTTTTTTTTAATCAAAATTTATGTGATATATTATTTTGTTTGATGTGAATAATACATTTTGTACATAATCCTTCACTTTTTAATAAGAGAAATCAAGTCATTGTAAAATAAAAACTAGTTTCAGTTTTCACCTTGCCAGTGCCTACATTGACAAAATTCTATTGCATTTTCAGATTTTCTAATCATTGTTCCATTTTATTCGATTCACAATGTATCATTTGTGAATTCATGACAATGGCAAGGTTTTGTTCAAATCTGATTGATATTTGATCAAACTTCTTTTATTATTAATTTAAAAATAGCAATATAATTGTATCAAAACATTTTTCAAAATTATTAATGCCTCCTGGCAACAATTTTATGCTTATACAAATCTCAAAAATTTATTACAATTGCTATTAGTTTGATTTTTTCAATTAAATTGTGTATTTAAAACTTTGTATAGAGATTATTTCATAATATATTTCTTATGTTTTATTTGGCTAAATTATATAACAATAAATAATATTTTGGTGATTGATACACCATATTCCAACAGCGCCTAATTTTAACGATTTATATTTATTGCTTTTAGCCTGACTGTTTAAAATATTCTAACAGTATTAAATTGTTTATTTTACACAGCACAAAATAGTTAATAATGTGGATATAATGGAACTTTTTAACTTTTAGATTATATAATTTGTTCTGTATAAGTGAGATCAAGTCAGAAACATTTTTTAGCGTGTGTTTTGTCTGAGCAAACAGGACGCAGATCTTTCTTGAGTTTCCATATTAAGAGGAAAAAAATCGTATTAAAGTGGGTTTACAAATATTTAATATATTGTGTAAGATTCCAACAGTGCACCAAATAACCAATTTTCTGTGAGAAGAAATCAGTTATTTACAAAAAAAAAGTGGTTGTATCTTTTTCTTATTTAACTCTATTTAAAATATCATAAACGCAACTATGACTATCACAGTAACATACAACAATATGCTAAACCAACAAATTTTAAAAATAAATAAAATAAATATTAAACAAATAATTTCTTGTGAATATTGAACAGCTTGAAAATTGTGTTCTTCTTTTTTAAAGAATATTTTCAATGGTAACTTTTCACTCATGAAATCCCATTACGTGGGATGATACCATATTGTAGCATAAGCTTGAATTGAAAATGAACTTCACCAGTTTATTAAAGGATTTTATATATATGTATGTTTCCTTAAATAATTTAATTAACCCCCTCTTAATCCATTCAGTTCGTGTAAAGTATCACAAGAAGGTGTTTTGATCTCTTGTGCCTTTTGGAAAAGCAAAGAGTCTCCAAAGTTCTTGGCCCGCCAGAGCATAGACTCACCTACAAAAATTAATAAGTCAATATTTACATTTCATCAGCGTAAATGGAAACTTACGGTATGTCTTTTCTCTGTAACACGAGTTTCGGAGGTTTGCAACGTATTCTTCTTCAACTGACGCTTCTAATTTTCTTATATTACCTTGATAGGTTGTATGGAAATTTTCTTTAACGTAGTAATGAATTCGCAAATCCTTTGTCATCCTAACAACTGGAAATTTACTGTAAAACAAAAAATAATTTACATACAATTTTAACGGACATAAAAAATTAAGACATTTTAAAAATAAAAACAATCAAGAATAAACTAAAGTCTAAAAACATGAAAGTGCAGTGCAAACAAGCAACAATTAAAATATGATACTGTCAGCTTCATTTCTTAATTTATCACAATCATCTCTGGCTATCACAACACCAATAGTTTTATTACAATATATAATAAAAGAAAAGTACTTCTTTGTTCAAGAAAGAGAAGAAAAAACAAATAATATTCACTCACCATGAAAAGCTCCACTAATCTAGATGCAATTAAACAATAATAGTGAGTTTATTAGTACACACCGGAAAAAGCATCTTTAACTGTTAACTATAAAAATTTATCTATCTGTAAGAAATAAAGTTATAAAGATAAATCTTTTAAAGCAATATTGTTTGTCACATGATCATTTATGATAAAATAGCAAAAAATCTTACATAGAAAATGTAAGTTTTACAAAAAAAATAAAAAATAAAAAAAAATTATACCATTTAGTGTTAGTAATAAATAGTATAAACATATAAATGAACGTTGCCCGAAACCACAATCCGTAAAATATGCTAATGAAGGTTTGAATGGATAGGAAGAAAATGAAGCTATGATGGCTTGTTTTATTTTGAAACATCGTGAAGTTTTGTTATTACAGAAAAACTACAAAAAATTAACAATAAATAATACTTATCTTACAATTTATTATTTTGATATTAATATATTTTCAAGTCTGTTCTGTATTATTCAAAAACACAAGAAATAATCAAATTATAGCCAGAAATGAAAGTGAATTTCACAAAGAAAAACAAAAAATCATTCTTTGGGAAATTAATTGCAAGGAAGGAAAACACATTTTTATTTATTTATTTTTTAAGAATGCCAAAGTAACAGTATAATACATACAAAGTAAAAAATATAAAGAGAAATATATATAAAAAAAACTTTATTAAGGTTTAAAAGTGCCCAGATGTGTGATTATTTAATGACTCTACTTCTTGGAGATTGTTAAAAAATACCTTTTGATTTACCTCGTCTGAGTTAGGCTGTAAACAGGATCAGAGACGAGTAGGGAGCTCATCATTGATAAAGCTATGAGTATTAAGACTGGCAACATCTGCATTAAAACGCTGTAGTTTGTTGTCTGAAAATGAACATAATTAATCTTAAAATAAACATAATAATAACATGCATACCTCTCTATGTGATGGTTGAGTATGCTGATCAGCTTTCCTCCACTGATTCCCCCTCCTGACATAAATATTAGCTGAACTGGGAAAAGCACCACCAAAGAACATGTTGAACAATTCTTCAGCCGTAACATCGGCTAAAATTAAAAAAATAATTTTTAATTTTTGAAAACGTTATTTTTTTACAATAATTTATTTACATTCAAATCCTCTAGTGTAACTTTCGGTATGTGTGTGTGTATGACGAATTCTCTCTTCATCAGAACCGAACATGTCGTACTGCTTTCTTTTCTCAGCATCAGTGAGAATGGCAACAGCATTTCCAATTGCTAAAATAACAATTTTGTTTTAATTAAAATTTTGTTAAATTTGTTTAATGAAATGGAAAATAAACCTTTAAATGCTTCTGCAGCTCCTGGGGCGCGGTTTTTATCAGGATGGAGATGTAGAGCCAGCTTTTTGTAGGCCTTTTTAATATCGCTGTCTGTGGCTTCTTTTGTAACTCCCAAAATTTCATAATAGTCTTTACATTTTTTTACCCTTTTGGAATATAGGGAAAAATTGCAATCAATATTTCATTTCATTGAGACAACTGTTTAAATAATAAAACAAAAATACAAGTAAACCATGTTTTTACCTTTTAACAGCTTCCAATTGTTCAGAGGTATACTCCGCTTCTTTAGGGATTCTTTCTTTTTTCATATTATCTGAAAGTGGTAAAATCAAATTACACCTTGATCTTATTTAAAAATGAATAGTGTATTTACATTGTCAATCAAAGTTTTGTACAATAACAGCTACTTTCGATTACACAAATCAAGATTATTTGTCTATTTTACAATGTGTTTGTGTTTGTACATGTGCATGCCCAGAGAAGTACAATTAAGTATTTCTCAATGATATTTGAAGTAAATAAAGAAATAAATCTGAAGATGAGTGTTTCAGCCTTTGAAGATTTTTAAACATGTTTATTGTAGCCCCAACGACAATAAATACCATTAAGTAAAAAAAATATTGATCTAGAAATGCAGGGTAAACAAATAACATTACAAAACAGTGAAATGAAGTATCACACTTTTATACTGAATACAATGGAAAAAAAGGAGAATAAATATAAAGAAAGACCACTATTTCGAAGAAAAAATAAATTATCCACGGTCGCAAGAGCTGTACTAGATCACCCATAAATGGTGGTTACAAAAAAGATCTTAGTATTTTAATTTTTCTCCCATTGTTCAATTGTACAATACCATTCCATATAGATTACTAAATTACAAGAATATGACAGCGCAACTGAATTAAATTTCTAACCATAAGTATAGAATACTTTAGTAAAAATGTAAAAATTACTACAAAAAATCAGAAATATTCCAGCTGCACAGAAGAGTGCGGATTTCACAATTACAAACAATTGACAGAGTTAATGTAATATAGAAAATATTCTGAAGCTTGATGTAATTGTCTTTTCAACAGGAAAGGGAAAAAAGCAATAATAATTTCTTCAATAAACTTCTAAAAACAACATAATCAAGAATTGTGCAGTTACTGAGTGTTTAGGGCATCTGACTTATTTACCATGCTAGTGGTTCTGGGTTCTAATCCAAGTGTAGCACATGGTTTTTTAATTGTGAATAATACGGAAAAAAAGCATTGGGAAGTGGTTTGATATGAGTTATATTTTCTATATAACAGTAATTACTTTACTTTTACTACCACAATCTGCACTGATACATCTACTGAATATAATTTGTTCAGATTATGAATTAACAATGTTTCAAAAGGATGGCTAAAGTTACAAAAAACAGCAAAAACAAAACATAAATATAGTCATGAATATCACAAAATTGTTCAATTGCTCATAACATACAAATGTACATAACAGTCAGTTCTATGGTTGTATATTTTGGTTTGATTTGATTTTGGTGATTGGAATGTCCACTATAAACTATAACTATACAGTAGACGTCAAAAAACTTATCAGTGAATTTAATTTGTTACATTTATTAATGTTATGTGGAAGTCTTGTTTATCTAATGTCACAGTCAAAAAGGCTACCTAAAAAATTAATACATTTCAAAAACCGTTCTTGTGTTCATGCAACTGCACACCAAACAGGAATATTATGTTGTTTTGATATGTAATTTTCCGAAATATAATGAAATTATCCTGAAATTTATGTGGTATAGTTTTATTTTTGATGCAAGGGATAAATTGAAATTAACATTTTGAAGTTGTGGACAAAAGAGAAAGTGCAAAATGAGCAAATTTAATCCTTTGATTTAATTTGCTTATTGAAATGGCCGCAATAAGCTGCAAAACTACGCAGCAGAGGAACACATCACATATGTATAAAACCTATCAGTGAATTTAATTTGTTAAGTATATTTGGGATTATTGATCCCATGTGGATGTCTTGTTTAACTATTGTTAATGTCAGAAAGGCTACACAAAAACATAACTAAATTTCATAAAACATGCAAATTACTATTCTTTCCATTGCACATCAGTCGTAGTGATATTTTGTTTGTAATTTTATGACATGGAATGAAATTATTTTGGAATTTATGTGGTACAGTATTATTTTTGGTATAAGGGCATTCTGAAGTTGTGGACTAAGGAGAAAGTACAAAAAGAGCAAATTCATCAGATAATTTAATTTTGATGATTTGTATGGCCTCGATAAACTGTAAACTACACAGTAGATAAATATCAGTGAATTTAATTTGGTAAGTAAGACTACATAAAAACCTAACTAAACTTCATAAATTAACAGTTGAACCACATGCAAACTACAATTAGTTCAATTGCATGTTAAACTGTCGTATAACAGTTTTTTTTAAAACTGTAATTTTGTGATACCGAATGGAATGATCCCGAAATTTATATGGTACAGTTTTATTTTTGGTGCAAGGGTAAATTTTGCAAGGTAGCATTTTGAAGTTGTGGACTAAAGGAGAGTACAAAAATAGCAAATTTATCAGTTGATTTAATTTCGGTGATTTGTATGGCCGTTATAAACTATACAGTATATACATATCTGTGAATTTAATTTATTAAATATATTAATCTCACATGGATGTCTTGTTTAAATAATGTTACTTTCAGAAAGGCTACATAAAAACATAACTAAATTTCATAAATTAACAGTTGAAACACATGCAAACTACAATTAGTTCTAATGCATGCGGAACTATCGTATGACTTTTTTTTATTTTTTAAATGTAATTTTATGATACGAAATGGAATATGCTGAAATTTATGTGGTACAGTTTTATTTTTGGCTCAAGGGTTAAATTGAAAGTAGCATTTTGAAGTTATGGTCAAAAGAGAAAGTACAAAAAGAGCAAATTGATTGCTTTGGTGTAATTTTAAGAAATGGAGTGACCACACCCATTTCAATTACAATTGATGATCTCCAATAATTTAGCTTTTGGAAAATTAAAAAATGCGGTTAAATGATGGAATACGCTGTCGGATCAAATGATACGTTCATTTTTAAAAGTCAAGATTAGCCAGTGATAACAGTCCAAAAGCTACTTACTGGAATGTGAAGGTTGAGTCGTTGTCGCTTCAGCTTTTGGAGTCGGATTAGTCGCGTGTTTGTTGAACTTGCGCAGGCTTTCCAACAAATCTAAAAGAAATAAAAGCACTCCAGTGAGGAATTTCCAGTTAAAACTTAAAAATTACTCCTTTTGCACATCACATTTGCCAAAGCAGTTTGTCACAGGTGAAATTAAACAAATGCAGGCCAAAAGGTCTTCAAACAAAAAAAAAAAAAAAAAAAAAAAATTCTAGACAGATAAGAACCTCAAATGAAGTTCGGCTCTTTTATTATTAATAAGTAAACCAATTCTTTAGTTAAGCCAGATTGGATAATCACCTTTGGCTTTTTGAGTCGAATAGAGTTTCTCGCTCTTAAGCAGGAATTTCTCGGCCTTGTCCCTTCTCCCAGCTAAAATGTACTCCTCGGCCAATTCAATACAACGGAACGCCTCGTCTTTGTTGCCTTCCATTCTTTGGACAAAGGATAGATTTAAAAATACAAAACTGAAAATAAATTAAAACTGAAACTGGCGAGGATCCCTCTCGAGACTGGGAATTCTTTAGTTTTCCTCTCGTCGAGATGAAAAATCACTGCTGGCAATATTGGTCAAGGTAGAACTGATCTCTCGACGGACCGTATCACTCCTGACATCGTTAACCTGCAAACCCCAGGTTTGAGAAAGGCTTGGAATCATTCCATACGCCTAAATCATTCTTACATATAAAAAAATAAATAAAAATAAAATGCTTTTAGAATTCATTCAAAGCCTTCTTTTAATTTCTTCTAGAACGTTTTCCACTCTTGTAAATTTATCCATTCGTATTTTCTCTTAAACACCAACAATCCAATGGACACAATCCAAAATTCTAAAACGATTCTTGCTTCTTCACAAGTAAAGAATCATTGGAGAAGGAATTTTTTAAAATTCGAAATCATCTTCTGAAGTGATATTTCCAAACATTTTCTTAAATTTAGCTATAGAAATTGAAATTTCGTTTCTTTTTCTGTTTAAAATCTAGGACACTGTGAATATATGAAGGTTCACGAGAAGAGATACTCCAGGGGAACACCAGTGCATCTATTGTCGAAGCCCTAAACTACAGACACCCAAAATTCAAACTTTATTTGATTATTTAATTTATTTTCTTTAATGGGAACACTTTTTTTAATGTAAAAAATTAACATTTTACAATTCATTAATATAATAGGAAATATGCAAATGGTAGAAAAGTATATTTATAAAATCTATAAAATAAAGTTTAATGTAATAACATGAGAAATGAACAGTCAAATTATTTTGATAAAAGTAACATAACAATATAGACCATGCAAAGTTGACACATGGAAAGTCTTTTGGATCAAAGCCTGGCTTTGTGTCGAGTGCAGAGAAATGAAAAATCAAATTATTTTGACAAAAGTGACAATTATAATAATTCTAGTAGTTAGTAGTTTGCTTCCAGTTATTTTTGGATCTAATAATAAACCACGCAAAGTTGACACATGGACAGACTTTTGGATGTGTTCAGAATGTAGAGAAATAAACAATCAAATTATTTTGACAAAAATAAGTATCATAACAGTAATAATAATATGCCATGTGAAGTTGCCACATATGCAGACTTTTGAACCAAAGCCTGGCTTTGTGTTCAGAATGCCGAGAAATAAACAATCAAATTATTTTGACAAAAATAACTCATAACAGTTTATTATCAGAGACCGGATTTTTATGCAATAAAAATTACCAAAATATGCCATAAAATATGCAGTTGAAAGCTCTGAAATATGCAATAATATGAAGTATTAATACATTAAAATATGCAATGATATGCAGTAAACCAGTTGTTTTTACTATCATTAACTTTAACCAAATTATCAACTTTAAACAAAAAGATAATTAAATGAAATAGATAAAAAATTTTACCAGGGGATTTCAACTACGAGATTATTTGAAAGCTGTTTTTTTTTAAAAAAAAAAAGCCCATTTGTAAGTATGTCAGGTTCAAATGTAGGGCCATTGGATTCAAACCTGGGACATTTACTTTACAGTGATGAGCGCTGTGTCAACACTACTGTTGCGGCCACTGACGTCCCCTAAAGTTTATTTACATTTAACAAAAATATTTTCTCACTTACATAATTAAATTATATATTTTATATTTATTGAGTATAATTAATGTTAATAAACAAGTACTTCTCTAAATAGTTCAGTGAAATTGTGCCTACGGTCACTTAAAATTTGTGAGAATATTGAAATAAGACCTAAGAAGGGGTTTTATATTTTTGTCATTATTTCTAGGATCTTCTCTTCCAGTCATTGCGGCCTGTTTCAGTTTTCTCAAATGTTAATTTTTACAACTTTTCAGCAACTTGTTCTTTCTTACAGAACTTTTTTATGCTTCTCCCAAAAAACAATACAGTTTTTTAAATATTTTACATGGTAAATGCGATTTTACATCCTCCAATATGCAATATTGTTCAAATATGTAATTTTATGCAATATTCATCAAATATGCAAAAATATGCTCTATAAAATTTAACCTTCCTACATATATGATTCAGATAGATAATTGATTTCCTCTGATTATGTGATGGCAAACAAAATATGCAACTGCTTAAAAATCTGTTCTCTAGTAATAGTCCAAGCAAAGAAGAATCACAGTTAGACTTTTGGACCAAAACCTTGGCTTTGTGTTCAGAATGCAGAGAAAAACAATCAAATTATTTTGAAAAAAGAACCAATCTAACCATGATAATAATAGGCCATGTGAACTTGACACACGACAGACTTTTGGGCCAAAGCCTGGCTTTGTGTACAGAATGTACAGAAAGGTTGCTCAATGTGTCCTTGGCTGTGTATATAGAGCATATAGGAATGCCACCAAATATGGGAAACTTAAATTATACATTTGTAATAAGCTATACATTCAAAACAGAAAATTGGCTGAGAAAGTAAATTGCACAATTGTTATTGCACTATTAAAAACCTGTTTACAGAATATAAAAATAAACATAAACAATAATATATTATAATCATATAATAATATAAGATTATCTCTTATATTCTACTAAGCAGTGGTAGAAATAAATTTTACAATTATAATAAAAAGACAATAGATTATTCTAAATAGCTAGAAAATATGATATAATGGTTTGTAAAGATGTGCTGAATGTATCTACTTGTGGTATAAGGTTATTAACTATTTTCTAGAGTTGTACAAGAATAAAGATAATCATGAGGAATGCGAGTAATGAAGAACAAGGAAAAAAGTCTTTAGTTATGGAGTGGAACTTGAAAATTTTGGTGAGAAAATAATAAAGGACAAATGATTCTATTATTTATTAATTTATAAATAAACCCAAAATCAAAATAAACATGTTGAGATTTTAATTACAGTAAGTAGATTGGAGATAAAAAAAAGTTATGTGAACTATAAGGAATAATTAATTTGAAGGAGATGAATTTAAAGAATTTTTTTAACTTGTTCTAAAGAATGTTTCTGACAGAGAAGATCAGACAGGAGAAGAGAATTCAAGATTATAAAAAACAAGGGAGCAATAGTGTTGTTTAAAGACTATAATATTAATGAAATTAAGGATATGCCATGCAAGGTTGATACATGAGCATTATTTTTAGGTCCAAAATCCCTTATGTATCCAGCATGCAGAGAAATGTTGCTCAATGTGTCCTACTTAATTGAAGGGTATATCTCCTTGGCTTTATACAGAGAACAATGCCAACCAATATGAGAATCATATCTATAATCCCTGTTTCGATTTTGGAGGAAACAAGGTTGTTTGCTAGGTTTAGGTTACTATTGTATGTAGTATAGATATTTTTGTGTACCTAACATTTATTGATAGAGTGAGTAGTGTAAGAGTGCTGATGGTGGATTATAAAGACCCCCATCGTCCCTCAATTAGGTTAGTTATATGACAGCTGTAAAGAGTGATGGAGGAATATTGAATAATCTACCACCTTAATTGAGTGAATGGCTTTAGGGAAAAATGTATTTAAAAGTGAGTTAGAGTGTGGATTTAAGAGCTACATGCAATGGGAGCTGAAATCAACTAGCTGTTGACATTTTTAATTTAAAAAGTGTAAAAGGATTAGTAACACTTTATAAAGGTAAGCAATGATTTACTAATGTTGTGTTCATGTTTTAAGTGAACTATTAATATGTATACTAGCTATTATGGAAAATAAACAAATAAATTCAAATGCCTGGTGTTTGTCTTTGATTGTATATTTATTTGGTTTAAATGATTCATTTTTTTCAAGCTTACTAATTAATTCTTCTGAATTATAGTTAATAAAATAACTCTAGAGCTATGTGCTCATGTATATGTTTCTGCATATTTGTTGACCTTGTAAATTATTAATAATAGTTTCAAAAATACTAATGAAGGAGATATATTCTTTGAAATGTCATAGGAGCTGAGTGTTTCTTTCATATTGGTCTTTGATCCATGATTATTAATATAAAATTATACATAATCAAGCATAAGTACATATACAAAAATATTCATAAAATAACTACTTTGCTTCAGGTCTTGGTTTTAACCAAAAAGCTATTACCATTTTTTCAGTTTGGACAGGGTGGAAAAAAGAACAGGCTCACCCATAGCATTACTTTATTTTGGACTTTCCTGGTATTTTTACTCATCACATCCAAATTGATAAATTAATATTTTGGGGTCAATGTATCCCACTGAATTGAAGGGTGAACTATTGATTGGGTTGGGTGCAATCCTTGATTCTCTATATAGAGATCATGCAAATGCCATCCAATATGAGAATTTTGCTTGAGCATTGAAGTAAGTATCTGAGCCCCCCCCCTTTTCCAATTGTAGGAAGAAATAGGGTTGTTTGATTGTATATAGTAGTGATATTTTTGTGCCATAGTGTGTGTTGAGAGTGTGTATGTATTTATTAGCATGATTGTGTAGCGTGAGAGGACCTATGGCAGAATATTAAATACCCTATTGACACTCGGGTCAGTTATATAATAGTTGTAATGGAGGAATATCAAGTACTTCACCACCCTAAAGTAGGAAAGAATGTACTTAGGAGTGAGTGAGAGTACGGATTTAGGAACTGATTATGCCAGGAGCTAAATGATCTAGTTGTTGACAGTACCAAGAGCCCAACTTTGATGGCTGGACCAATAAGACCAAGGTCTGACTCCCAACACCTGGTTAATTCTCAAGTCCTTCCAGTAATTTATTGTAAATTACAACAGTTGGTAATGCTGTACATTGTGTACATACATACCCACATGTTCAGATTTGTGTTTATATAAATCAATAAATCAAATTAATTATTAAGATAAAGTTTATTGCGAGATATGAAGATTAGCAACTTAAAAGATTTATTTATTTATACTTATTTATTACATCTGTTTTAGCCTTTAAGGTCCAGAAGGACTAGGGTTCTTACAGTAATTGCACAGAACTTAGTAATTTAAAATATTTAGCCTTACAAGTATTTAATTAAAAGATTTCTTTATACTGAAAATATTAGTTTTATAATAAATTACAATATTAAAAATAAAGGCTATATTTAAAACTATAATGATAACAAAACAAACAATTGTAGTGATTATAACAAAAGAAATAATTTATAATTAGAATAAGTCATAGTAAAAATACTTAAATAAATTGATATAAATTTAGTCGATGTCCTCTCCACTCATCTCTTCTAGATCAGCAGTTTATTTATCTACTTATACTCATTACT